TTCACGAGTTTCGATCTCAGTTTATATCATATATACGACTGGATCCTCGGAAAAAGAGAACGGATGGTACCTCTTGCATATCACTACGCAAATGAAACATAAAATTAGAAACAACGCGTCTTTTTATTTTGACCGGCGGTCTCGGCACCGAAAAAATTTTGTAGTTTTTTCTGTCTCTCGTGGGCGTGACTTCGCTATGAAGTTTACGAGACGACAAACCTTGGTGTCACGTAATAACTTCCGCTGACGCTTTAACGAGGCAGCCGATAAAAAATTTACGATTCGCAATGGCGGCACCTTCTCGGAACTTTTCGACACGAGAAATAATAGGTATATACCAGTTGAAAAACTACACATTAATCGTGTTATATATTCTTTTTAGAGCTCTTAAATTTGCCGTAGAGCAAAAATTTTAATTATACCCTGATTCAAAATGCACCAATAAATGCTAGTTCTTTTACGGTTGTACGTAATTCTTTAATATAGGAATTTTTAATTTGCAATGAACTGTGTTTTGTGAAAATTACATACTCGTCGCGAAAAATTATCTAAATCGAGTACGCTGTACCGTTAATTACTTATATATCACAAAAAACATACGAAAAATCGTATTAACTTTTACGCGAAATTTTCTGATAGCCATCGTCGATAATCCCCTGAAAAGCCATCGGAGCTCACGAGTATAGTGTCCCAGAATACAACGGCCCATACACACACATACATGGCCATTAATAAGTGTTTCGGCGCAGGCAATATGATTAGTTTTCCTGCAGCGATATACACACACCGACACACCGACACACAGACACAGAGACTAGTCTCGTGGAGCTAATGGTTTCCAAGGTTACTAATGGCCACGTCATCGTTATCGGTCCTTTCAGGCAAATAGATCGATCGGACCCATGCACACTCCGACGACGACGACGATGGAGATTAGACTGTAGACCTGTCGTGTCCAGGTTGCTCCTCTTTTTCTTTGTTTTGCTTCACCCTCGGCAAATCCACTTACGAATGGTGGTAGTAGCAGCGTGGTCACAAAAAAAAGCAAGAGTTCTATCGAAAAGTAGTAGCGTAGCGTGTCTATTGTCAAGCAGTAACGGCGAAATTGCATTTAAACTCGAGTAAAATTGCTCGTGGTCTAAGAATTCCCTGCCTCCCTTGGTACACAAAAGCGACAGTGAAATTTAACCAACTGCCAACTTCTCTTCAAAACTTACACCGTCAACTGCTCCGTCCAACAATACGTTTACAGTGAAACTCAATTACTCAACTCAACTCTCTCTACCTGGAAATCTTACTCGAAGAAAGCGAATCAGAGAGGGAGATGGAGAAATACTGTCTAATTGTAAACACCTATCGGAAGAATCGGTGGCAAGTGGCAAGAAGAAAAGAGTAAGATCAGGAATATTACACCAACAATCACTGACTTTAATTCAGAACGCTTCTTTTGCAAGCCTGCGTATTGGCCTCTACTACTTGATCTTGTCCTCCCTGTTAGTTTGAGTGTGCCCCCACCAAGACCATCGCCATCCCTCTTTTTCTCCTCGCAGGTGAGAGAGTAAGAGAGAAGGGAGGAGGGAGACGTGCGTACTATAGCACCGGCATCAGCGCCGCTATCGTACTACTACTCGTCAGGCCAGGACTGTGATCAGCCAACACGATTGCCCCGCGCAGAACAGCATCAAACTCTCAATGACAACCTACGGCGTGGTGAGCGTATAGCTCTACTACTACTGCAGTTTCAACCTGAGTTTCGTGATAATGAATTGCAGGAGAGGTGTTATTTTGTGAATAATTCAACGTATACGCCTATCATTTTCAAAAAAGCTTATAAATTTTGGCGATTGCTCTATATTGCGACAATTTCATTCTCTCAGTGTTAGGTGAATATCGACGACTCCACTCTCTTAGTGTGACATCTTGTAATATTGATTAATCGCGTAATTCGCGTTGTTGAAAAATTTTATGTTATCCGAAAATTGAATCTTGAGAAATGCAGCACTTGAGGATTGACATGAATAAAATAAGAATTGAAACAAGATCTTACAAGTTAAAATACTCTGAGAGACGGAATAAGGTGATGGCAGGCCTCATAAAGTATAAGCTCTTATCGTTTTTTTTCCTTTTTCCGTTCTTCCTTGTAACACACAACAACGGCGTATATATACCGCATTCGTACATCCAGTTTTATCGCGAAGTATCTGTCTTGCGTGAGGGCGCCGAAACTCGTTCCGCGGCAACTTTCGAGCAGAAGCGGACCCATCCTCGTCGCTCTGCTCGTACACAGGCACGTAGTAGGAAGAAAACTTTGCCTATACGAGCTTGCAACATTTGAATATTATAGAAATGCATACGCTGCCTTCTTTATGTATTTTTACAGAGCAAGATTTCGAGGCAATGTAATTAATCGAAAGAGAGAGAGTAAGAGAGAGAGAGAGAGAGAGAGATGAATTACAGGATTTGAGTATCCATCGATACTGTAGAACCTGAACAATTGTGTCTTCTTTACATTCAGATCTTGTCAAACTTCATCATCTTGCGCTCGAAAAAAGTAAATCGATATATTCGCACTGTAATGTCATAAAAAAAGAACTAGAGCATCTTGTACTTGACTGTACTTCACTGAAGTTACAGAATTCAAAATACGAACTAACAATATTTTTTCTCCCTTGAGAATATTTTTCAAACAAAAAATACTGAAATACTCTCTTCATCTTATTTTTATTAATAAATCCATTAATTCAATTATTTTGATAATTATAATGTCATATCGCGTATGAAATTTAAACCGTAATAGAAATTTCAAGCAAAATTATGCCTTGTTAAAATTCCTGCATAAGAAAAAAATTACTTGCGAAATTGAATAAATGTCTAATGATTCAAACAGGTGCTTTGAAACAAAATCAAAGCTTGCACAAAACAACAAAAAAGAAAAAAAAAACTACAGCTCGAAGCAATAATACATTAGCTGATTCACAAAAAATCGCTGTGGAAATGTCTCACATTAGAGGTCTGTTGAAGCTTTGGCTCGTGGGCGCCCCCGAAAAAGCTCTGATAGTATAGTCGGCGGTGCAGGCGTCGAGGGCGCACACGCGCGGCATGGAAAGAGGGAAGGGGGATACGTCACGGGTCGATAGCGTGGGCGCTTGCGCCGGCTCGTTTTCCCGCCATATTAGTCGACATGGGGTAGCGGCAGTGGCGATATGTGCGACCGGGGCGGCACGGGCTGCTTCTTCACTTCCCGCAAGGTAAATGCCATGAAAATCAACGGCAATTAACGACTGTTTTTGGTTGTATGTCGTTGTGTGCGACGAAAGGAAACACGAAAGAAATGTGTGGCTCCAAAGGATGGATCGTCCTGCTTGTCAGGCCGCTTCGTGTATCAAGATGCCTTCGCCTCGTGCTACGTGCCGTTGGACGAGAGGTCGGCCACTCTTTTCGTGTCTGTCTTTCTCACTCACTGTACTCTTCATAAATGTTACTCCTTTCGCTCACTTTCTCTCTCTTATGCTTCTCTTTGTTCACGGTTCTGCTGTTTGTGTTTCGGGGGAAATAAAGAAAAAACGAGGACAAGCATGATTCTCTCTCCTCACAATACACACGCACACGTACACGCACACGCACACGCACACGCACACACAAAGGTCGAGTTCATTTTTCCTCTCCGGCGTGCACGTTGTTTGTGGGTGAAACTAGAGAGTGTAGTGTGCTACTGTGGAGGATTTTCCCCAAGTGTAATGGTTCTGAAGTGAGAGGTGAATGAACTTCATCGTTCTCGAACCTGTGCTCTCTCTCTCGCTCTCTCTCTCTCTCTCTTCGACTAGCGCTTGGACTATGTGCTTTCTCCTTCGCAAGTTTCCACAGAGGCAAGCTCTTCAAACGTTAGTTCAAGTAGGCTGTTCGTGCAAAACGGAATCGTGTGTGAGTAGTGATAATAATTAAAAATGAAGTTAATGGTGTTTGCCTAAGTTCATATAAAAGGACTGGTACCTTCACAGGATTTCGCGCGCGCGTGTATTTCTGTGCGCGAATAGCTAACAAGTGTCGAGAGTGCAGTTCGTTATCGACTTAAAAATTTGTGCACGGTCATTACCAAACAAACTTGAAAATGTTAGAGCAAATGTAATGACTCGAATTTTCTTATGTATAATTGGAATACGCAAATAAATCCAGCAATAGCTGTTTCACAGCAAAAACACTAAAAACACTCTGCGCGTATTAACGACTATTCACTCAAATTCACCATCGCATTACTAGAGATAACTTCGAAAATATTGCATTCTTTACTGACACATAAATCATATCTAATGACCAAGTTATTCACGCACTGTACGCGCACGCGAGCGTGTGTGTGTGTGAGAGTGGGTATGTGTATGTGTGCGCATGAAGGGTGGAGGGGAAATTAAGCAATCAAACGAGTAGTAGGAGCAGTCACCGCTATAAAAAAGGAAGAAAGTGGAAAATGGAAAACAGTGGCCAGTGGATTACATATTCAAGTTAGAAGAAAGCTTTTGATCTATAGGGTATTTTGTCCGGGAACAAATGGCGCTAACTCCACGTGAAATACAGCGAGTAGTTCGCTGCGCGATCAATTTTACGATACGCTCTCTCTACCACTCTCACCCTCGCTTGTTCGCACGCGTAGAGTATTATTTTAAACGACGGAAGATCAAAGTTACACGAAGGAAACTTGAGACATTGGCGCAAATTTAACGTTGCCTTGTTCGATATTATGAATCAGAATTGTTAGTGCCTACCGAGCTTTTGTTGTCAGCAATAAAAAATTTCTTTCGAAATGCGGGCTCCGTCATATATTCGACGAATGATAATTTCAAACGAATTCATACAATCCTAGCTGTTTCTTCACCGTGCATGCATTTGGTGCACACAAAAACCATTCACGAGCCAAAATTGAAAGAAAAACGACACAGTCACAAAAATGAAAAAATAAATATAAAGCAAAAAAATTGTAACGTGGTTGAAAACTTGTGTAATTTCAGGAAGGACGGGGGGAGGTGACGGACATAAGCGTAAGTCCGGGACGGCAGGTGCCCGTCAACCAGTTGCGCCCCAAGGAGCCTCCCCCTATGGTCATTCAGGGAGACTTCAGAAAGGTAATGACACTCTTGACCCCTTCACGTGCAGCTTTTCTTGAATTACATCACGCTCACCGAAGCTATATGTGTGCGAGCACACGTGATGAACTGCATTTTCTTATTTTTTTTTACTTTCACCTTCGTAACGCGAATGAAAGCACTCTACATGTCGGTTATTTTATCTGTTGGGTTGATCGATTTACATTAAATATTTCGAGTGACGTGCATGCAATAGAAATATCGATGTTTCGGTCTTTACAGTGTGATATGGAAACTTTAAAAGCTAACGGTGTATAGTTCATTTAATTATTTGTTTTTTTCCGCAATAAAACCAATACTTATGATTTTCTAGTCGTGAACATGAATTTTTGAAGTTTGGCACTAATGACATTCCTGCTAATTACAATAAAGCCTACAATGAAACTGATTGAGGAATATATATACATACATATATATATATATATATATATATATATATATATATATATATATATATATATATATATATATATATATACCTCAATCAGCCGATAATGAAGCATTGACAGTGCAAAACTTCGCATACTCGACTCGAATAAATTATTGCTCTATTGAGCAGAACCCCGGAAATTCCAACAGGAACATTTTAATTAATCGAAATGCCGATATAGCAGCAGGCAGTAGTGTGCCAATGGGTTAAAAGGTACCACACAGTGCGCAATCGTATGATTGTCTGCCTGTCTCACTCGTGCGCGCGTACATTTATAGGTAAGCGGCATTACAAATGAGATCTTCAGGCAGTTGGAGCAGATTGAGAATGACCATGATGCGTCAACGGCTGCTGCACTCGAAGCAGTGGAGAAACATGGCGAAATGGTCGTCAGGATCATTGAGCCAAGGCAGATGGGCCGTACTGCCACTGAAGCTGCTAAAAAATTAGTCGCCATACAGGTATGATTATTCTATTTGAAGGTATATCAAAATAATCAGAATGTTACACCGCTGTATAAAAAATATTTTAAAAATTATACGAAGCTTAATTTAACGAATCTATCTTTCGAGTTGTTGATAAAAATAATGATTTTTAATTTGCGCATGAAAAAAGATTTAATTGGCACATTTTTTACGGCTAATGGTAACTTTTGTTACAATAGCCGTAAAAAATAATTTGATATACACAAAGGTTGCGCCAATCATTTTGCCGTAATAATCAATGTACCAATTCGAGACAGGAAGCCGCAAACAATAAAATTAGCATTAATAGAATTCTCTCGCATGCGTTCAATTTGCATGAGCTAATATATTAAGGGCGGTATTCCACACCCGTTTATTCAGGATCCAAAGTATCCCATCCACTTCGTGGAGATCATCAAGAGACCAGGTCAAACTCTCGGACTCTACATTCGTGAGGGCAATGGGGCTGATAGGAACGACGGTGTTTTCATCTCAAGGATAGCACTGGAAACTGCAGTTTACAATAGTGGTTGTTTGAAGGTTTGTATTTTTTACCAATAAACTACGCAAAGCAAAGAATGGAAGTTAGGTTTTAGAGTAAAGTTTTTCGTGCGTTATAATTTAACAACATCCTTTTATTAGCAAAATTCAACGGAAAGGAAATTACAAAATTAGAATTACGAGATTTTTTCAAGCAATTTTAACAAGCCGTTACTTAATAATTTGCGTATAACAAGCTGAAGAAATTGTCTCTTTAAAAAAAAAATATTTCGCTATAAAGGCAATTTCGAGTTTGACAATTTGAAGGTAGCTGCAAAATTGGTTCATTCATAGTAGCGCCGGCATAGGTATTCAGTTCGATATGTACTCGAAATATTTTGAATATCACGATAGCGATGAAGCAAAACGATTGACTTTCTATCTTGCTTCATTTTTTGTATAGAAACCTGCTCTCTTACCTGAATAAAATAACACGCGCTATCAAATCCCCATACATTCAGTGGTGAAATTATGCTCTACTCAAAATTCGTATAATGCATTCAGCGCTACATTGATAATTCAACTAAGTGGCCAATCCAAAAAAATCTAATCTCTATCTAACCTGTCAATACCGCTAATAGACGATGAAACCATCTGAACAGATAGTAAAGATGAGTGTCGTTGAGATGGTAAAATATTGTACATGTATATATTCTCTCTTCAGGTGGGTGACGAGATACTAGCGGTGAATTTGGTGGATGTAACGCACATGAGTCTTGACGACGTCGTGATAATAATGTCGATACCGAGGCGACTACTGCTGGCGATCAGACATGGACCTCATCAAATTGTTACACATAGTAGGCAAAACGAACAGAAAGGACCGCCAGTTGTTGTGATCAAGAAGGATCTTAATGAAGATGAGACAGACCATATCACCAGTAATCATATAAGGTAATTTCTTACAAATTCATTTACAAACGCTTTTTATTTTAATAAAATTATGCTCCATCAACCAGAGTCTTAATTTTCATAAATCAAAAGAGAAATATAATTTACGAAGCAATTGAAGCAGGAAATCAGATAAAATTTGCTAGTTACACGATTAATTGATTTTAAAGCGGATACCGAAGTTTTAATAGAAATTTTAATATGCTTTTTAAATGTTAATTGTAAGATATACACATTTCGGTACTTATCTTTAGCGTTAGCATTGAATTAATAATATTTTTACCTTTATAGCGAGGTTTCAATAGATTATTAGCGACATGGTTGATCCCGTTCAAAATACATTTTCTATAAACGGAAATATACATGAAATTAATATAATTCAATATTTTCTTGATCATTCCAATAAAACTTGGAAATTTCAAAAGGGCCGACGTAACAAGTAGACGACGTGGCGACGGTCGTGAGATGTTACCGTCGCGTTCGAAACTAGGCCTATCAGGTTTCGGATCAACGCAAGATATTGGGGCGAGCAATGGTGATTTGTATTATAATTCGCGGCCAGAAAGTCAACTAGGTTGGACATATCAACCGCCACCACCGCCGGTCATTACGCAACAGCCAAAACCGTCCGCCACTCAGCATTTTCAGCCTTATGAACGTGGTTATCCGAAAACTCTTGAGAGCCTCGCCGAGAAGGTGAGCCTTTATTATCCAATTCCATTCTTCGTATGTTTCCGTTTCATATATATAAATCTGTTTCTTATTCGATTTGATTCTTTGATTTACAAATGGTGGTAAACCACTCCCCGACTCTTGTGCGAACAATACGTTGATCGATATGTTAGATGTTATATACTCGTATATATATATGTGTGCGTGTCGGTAAAGAGTAATGTTTTTTAGTCTGCTTTAGCACTAGAGTCGAGAGAAAGATTTGCCATAATTTGTTGCACCGGCAAAATCGAATTCAATTATCTCATTTAGTTTCACTTCAATGATTGGTTTGATGAATTCTGTTTTGCAAGAGACATAGATGTCTTAGATGATGTGGATTGAGCACCTATATCACACCTTTATATTTGCACCATATATATTCCACATCACTGATCGAAGTCATGCTGTAACCACTCCACTCTCTAAGATATCATTTTATATATGTCGCGTACAGGAAATATTTTATATACGTATCTATTTGAAAACATCAATGTTTCTCAAAATTCATTTATTTACAGTCCAATTCGATGGCTCGCGCAATCGATCATTTATTATTATTATTATTCTCATTACATTTAGTGTATCTATACACTTTTCAAGTTTCAATTCTTATTCTGCACATTTCTCCATAGTACAAATGCACTTTAGTATTCAATTAATTCACACACGGAGACCGTGCGTCCGAAAGTGCAAGCTAGTCAATAAGCTATATAAAACGACAAAAAGATACAATCGATATAGAGATATAAAGTCAAATTTAACAGGGACATAAAATACGAGTATCTAATGATTTTGTCGGTTCTATGAACGAATGCACCATTGAAATAAACCAGGATTTCACCAAGGTAATAGCACTTACAAATCTTCTTGATAACTAGACCTTGTAATTGACTGAGTAAACGGGACCCGCTGTGTTTTGCATGTCTCCGATTGCCTCACGATGTCATACACGTTTCCTTTCGTTTATTTTCAGAAATTCATTTTCTTTTTCTTATTATAAACAGAATCGATGCGCTAGGCGACGTGGTTTCGAGGCACTCGGTTCTCCGGGATAAATGCGTTGCTTTCATTGATTTTAGTGTTCTTCGAATGCAGCGTGATACATTTGGAAAGGCTATCACTCGATTTCTTAAGTAATAATACAATTCAGCGACATCCATTGTTCAATTGTAGTATTCGAAGAACGACAAAGCAATAACTGTTTTATCCCTGTGATCCACATGCGGTTTCTTATTAATTATGTATTGTGCTATATCAGTATCAAGTTGAAGATTAATTATTCATATTCTGTGGTATATCGCTAATCAATCAGTTTCTTTATTTGGCAAAAGATACTAACCTAACATTAAAATCCTCTTAACTTTTCTGATCACTAATCAACTAACTACCTCCGCTCAATTAAGCTTGCTGTACATTTATTGTATCATTGATCATTTTTGCTGTTTACATTTTATACCGTATCTGTCATACATGTATCATTGTGTGTGTGTTTTTCTTTGTGTACTTGCACTAACATAATATTGCATCGACTTTGTATCAATGTATGCCTTCGACAAATATTAATTCATTTATAAATTTGAACTTTCAATTCATAATTTATATGAAGTACAATTTGCTTTATTTTGAAAAAATGAGATCGAATTTATAAAACTCAATCATTAAAGGCTTATTAATGTTGGCTTCATTTCGGTATAAAAATTTACGATGAAAGTAAAGGAAACCAAACAAAGAAATGAAACCAACGAAAAGAAAAATTAATATTTTTTCGAAACTTTAAAACCCGCAAAAAGCTTTTCATTAATATCTGCATTATATTTGAAGAGCTTTAACGGTAAATAATCAGCTTGACTTATCGAAGGATATGAAGTTATTCATATATTAATTTCACAATAAAAAAAGATACATTTTGTCGGTTAACTGGATTATGCTTACTTTACAACGTTAATCCGGTTAATTTCAACTGCCAACATTTATACTCACACCTGTGGAGAATATAATCTCTTGAAAAAATAAATGATGTACTCTCTCTTAAATAAATAAAAAAAGAAAATAGAATGGCCTATCTCGGCTGGGTTAATACTACTCTTCAAAGTAAAGCGTCGTTGTGTTTCTTAAAAAAAAAAATTAATTCAAAGTATATAACTATATCATCCATAACCACCTCGGATAAGTCAAGCTTTTTAAAAGCTTCGCAAAAACAAACGCTTCACAAAAAGAAAAAGAGATTGCAATAATCATAGAGATAACGCCACGATAAAGTGAAAGCTAAACACCCCGCAAAACCACAAAAACGATACATTCGTGCTTTGTAAAAAAAAGAATAAAAAAAAAGATAATTCACTTTTACTACGTATGTAATGTAATCTAGGTCCATTCGTTCTACCCGATGGCTGGTGCAACAAACGGTACGCGGCGCATGTCTGCGGGTACGGGTATGCAGTCGGCAATGAGTGGTCGTCTTGGACAGTCACATTATGGTACTGTTGGCTATGGGCAGCATTCGGCATCTGGACGACTTATGCCACGTAGTGGATCTGATCAGCATCTACCGAGGGTTGATTATACTAGTATTACCACTCCGGCAAGACACACACTGCTAAGGTCTAGTCTCAAGACTGGTGAGTAAATTTTCAAAGTGGACACTTCGTTTTGCATGCTAACATTGAACTTGGAGGTAATGAAATTTCACATATGAAGTATGATTACATGTTGCAATATAAAATCAATACGTGTGGAAAGTGGCCAATAAATCTCATTGCACATGAGTTTCCGATATAACTGGAAATGAAGTATGTATTTTATTAAAAGCCTATAAATTGACAGTCGGAAATTTGATAACTCTAAAAATTCTTATTTCTCACGTAAGCAAACATCAGTTTTATACCTACAAGACTGTGTAGCTTACAATTTTTTTTTCAATACTTTACTTTTAAATTTTGATTGCAAAAAATCATTTAATCAAAATTAATTACAATACACCGTGTGATGCGCAGTCGTTGTGACAATAATTAACAAACCAAATCAAAAACGCAATTGTAAAACCAGACTATAATAACGTTTCCTTGCGCGAAAGTGAAGTTTCTAGGGTAAGCTACGATTTCATTAGGTTAATCTGAGTCGTTAGGGAGATTAAGGAAGTTTGCGCATTGCACTACCGAATTTTAACAAGCGCGGTAAAATTGCGCAGATGCCCTCCGCCGTGTCCTTACAGTCTTCACTGTAAGCGAAGGAATCAATTTCCTCAAGCCAAGCTTGACTTTCTTCGAGCGTGAAATCGCGAGCGCTACGCCAATATGAATTTATCTTCGAAGATTCTTTCATGATCTTGTGTAAGGTTTTCGTAGACACCTTTTAAAATATTATGAACCTGTGAACGAACGTTTGTATCAGTACGCGAGCAGAATAAGGAAGTATTCTTTTCTGAAAATAAGTGCTCGATCAATTGTGCTAATTTTAGCGATTTTCAAATTTAATGCTTTTCTAGCTAGACTCTACGACAGCTTTACAAATTATTCATTTCAATTAAATATTGTCCGAATCTATAAACTATTCTCTGATCAAACGTAGCTATTACTACTTTCTTTTTTCTTCAAAATAACTTTCTAAATCTATCGTTACTTCTCACAATCCAACAGGTTCATCGGCCCTACGTTACGGCACACGTTACGGCACAACGTCAGAGGCGTTGGCATCCCAACGTCAAACGCAATTCGGAACGTTGACTCGTAGACACAGGCCATCGCTCGATTACGCGTCCGACACGGAAGCCACGTGCTCGAGTTCACCACGCTCGGCCTACTACTATTACAGGCACAACTTGAGGGATCCTGGGCCAAGTAGTGCTGTCTCACATTTGGCAACGCTGTCGCGATCGCAGATTGGCCAGAGTACCGGTGAGTTTGGTCTTGTTGATTTGTCGATGTCTTAGCCAAAAGTGAATGCATAATACACTGGAAAAGAATTCTTTCTATTCATGGATGTGTTTGTCAACATTCTTTTTTATACTATGTGTGTTCTATTTTTCTTTTCTCACTTGAATTAGCTCAATTTTAGTGAAATCTTTAGATACTTACGATCAATAGACAACACACAAATATGTCATTATATTATACAGAAGAACACTGGCATGAACATGTTTCACTAGCCGATCACGTATGGTTATTTTTACCCTACGGCAACGTCCGTGTTCGTTCGTTGAAATCAAATTTTTCAAAAGCCAGAGTTTTAATTCTATTATAATTGATGATTTCGTTCAAATTAAATATTCGTAAACGCGACTTTATTGTTTGACAATAATTGGCGAACCTACATTTAGAGAAAACATATTTTCAAAGAACTGATAAAAATGAAGAAAAACGAACATCATATAAATACAATATAAACTCTCTAAATGTACAATCTAAAAACAGCGCAAGAAGCAAGAAAAAATTTGGAAAGACTAACGCGCGGGTGTGGGGAGGGGGGTATAGTGAAAGGCATGGGAAAGCCGCCGCTCGCGCATGTTCTAGGCTACAACAGATCGAACTCGTTGCCGCGTAGCACAAGAACGTTGCCGCATCAGCCAAGCCTTAGGCCGGGCCTTAGCACCGTCGCGTCAGCTCTGATTGATCAGGAAGATAGCGATGGGGCATTGTCGGCACCTGAATTGCCATCGGTACGACGAGATCGAGGTAAGATTCTTCACCTTACACTTCACCTAAAAGAAAAGTCACCTCCAACATATATAAATTTATTCACCACCAAATTTTATTATCAATAGTATTTCAAGTGTATTATATCTGTTGATAGCAAAACATCATGTACATAATACTGATTATACAACTACCGATAAAAGTAACATGAGGCTGACGATGCACAAATTTGATTTTTCATCCTTTTGCTCACGATGCTATGATCAATAGTTTTCTTATTAAGTACTTCACTGCTAGACTGAAGTACGTCTTTTATTTTATATGCAGAAAAATATGCTTTTTTAGCTATAGTTATTATTTTTTCTTTTATTGATTGAAGCACATGCTCGATATATTTACAATATAACACACACTCACTATGAATCATAAATATCTCACAGTGTATCAATTAGTTTAGTCACTTAAAATTAAACATCAAATAATTACACACAATGTATGCAGAAATGGACGACTTACAGAGGACCAGATTGCAACGTAACTATTAATTATATTCTGCATTGTTTAATATAGCCATTACGGACCTTAATAAACGGATCATTTCTCTTGTTCATCATCGAATCGCACAATTATTGATTTTCTTGGTGTAATTGGAAAATAAATTGTAGGAAGAATACCATCAACACCAAACATCTACTCGTCAGATGAGTATAGAGCTTGGTTAAGTCGAACACCAAGTACCTCGGCTCTTTACGATCAAATTCGCTCGACTGCACGGCCGCCAAGGTATACCTACAGTGCCGAGAACATTCATGCAGCTGTTAACAAAGTATGCACTTTTTAATTTAACGTATATAATATTGAAAAAAAAAACGCCTCGTTAAAATAGAAAAGTAAATTACAAAACAAAATAATTCGTGAATAATCACATATCAAAGAATTTTATCCGGTAGATATATTTCAACGGTTTCACACGATCACAATTATCGCGTTTCTCTCTTTAGAGTAGCATGGAATATCTGATTTAATAGTAACGTCAAACATCGGTATAATGCTGCGTCGTCGAATTAATTGGATTATTATTTCACAATCCAACGCGCGTGCTTTGATCTGCTCTGCGTAATCTGAAAATAAAAAGGTTTAATTGAATAGTGGATTAACTATCAAGCGATTTGCTCAAATCGATTTGCTTGCAACAGGAAATATATATAGTGTTCTTCGATGGTAATTCAAATGTCAACTTTATAATTCATGTCATTTACTCGAATTAGGTGCATTAATTGAAGCTATGGGACATCACGTTGACCTTAATTGTTTTCGAAATAACTTTTCGGAGAAGTTGTTACGGTGATTGATAAGCAGCAACTTGTTTAACGAAACTACTAAACATGAACTAAAATAAAGATTTTCAAAGTCTAATTTCCAGTACTATTAATCAAACTTTTTCCGCCAACTCATTCCAGGCCGATTACGGTGGTTACGGTACGTACCGGCCGATGTCGAGTACTTTAGATCGCTTATCTACGCGCTCGGCCTCAGCACAGCAAGTAAATCTAGCGAATCTACGCGCCTCGACGGCAATCAGCTCGACAGGGCACAGGGCGACGGCAAATCACCCAGGACGACCATCGTCGGTAGCATCGAACGTTCGCGCTTCCTTGGTTGGTCCAAAAACTGGCGGTTTAATTGGTACAGCAGCCGCACAACGAGCAAGTGGTGTCAGGAGAATGAGAAATATTATGGATCTCGAAACGAACAGGAGTACTATACCCACACCTACGCCTGCACGAAGCATTGATCAAAGACTGCTAGACATTAATCCTGCAGGTGAGCTTTTCTTTCTTTTTATTTTTTTTTTCTACTTCGTTGATTGTACGCGCTATAGCAAGCTGTCAAAGTTTGAGTGACATTTCATTAAGCTACGCTTCGTCGAGTGCAACAACGAAAAGTAATAGCGCTTGGGGAGATTCTTTTCGAACTTGATTTTCCATCGAGTATAATGCTCTTTTGCCTTCATTTTTTATTAATATGCAGAAAGAAAAGAAGAAGTTGAAGGTATTATACCTTAAGCGTGAGAAATTGAAACGATACTGTTTATCACGAAAAAAATATAAACATAATTGTTGAAATTTACTGCTAACAGTAATTGAGGTGTGATAAAACTTTTGTTTTTTCTTAGAGTTCCTTAAGTATAAGATAGAGAAGCCACCAACGGTAGGCACGCCAAGTTCGACAAGCTCGTTATTGAGTTCCCTGGCTGAAGGCACTAGTGGTAGTGGCAGTCATACTGGCGGTAGCGACTTTGCCAACGGTGTGAGCGGCTTACTGTGGGTTCACCTCTTGGCCGGACGCGGTCTACGCGCCACCAATTCCACCTCTGCAGCTACTACGCCTTCCACGCCGTCAGGACAGCCTAGCCTAGGTAATACATTAATCAATTATCGGATTTTCATGTCCGTCTGACCTCTATTAACATCTATGTGTTTTCAAATAGTAAACTGCGGCCTGAGAGATTTGTACTGCGTTCTCGAGTGCGATCGCGTTCACAAAGCTCGCACTGTAGTGCGTACGGGCGATTTAATGTTCGATTGGGATGAAAATTTCGAGCTCGATCTCGTTGGTAATCGCCAGCTCGATCTGTTGGTATACTCATGGGATCCGCAGTATCGACACAAGCTTTGCTACAAAGGTTCCGTTCATCTGGCAAGTCTACTTCGAGAATCGCCGGTACATCAGTTAGCGGTGAAAGTCGAGCCACGTGGTACGATATACCTGAGGCTCAGGTATACCGATGCCCAACAAACGTTCCGAAGACGTGGTCTGCCAATCATATCATTGGCTACGAGAATAGCACCACTGTTCGGTATTGATCTCGAAACAGTTGTAACGAGGGAGAGCAAAACTGGTGGGCTACCTGGTGGTGTATCGACTGCTCTGGCGTTCGGTGGTAGCGGCGTCCCTAACGTGCCCATCATTGTTTGGAGGTGTGTCGAGGAGGTCGAACGACGTGGACTGGATATTATCGGTAAGTACTGGTATTCACGCAATTACATCTGAAATTGAGTACGACTTCAGCTATTTCGTTTTGTGTGTTAATAGGCCTGTATAGACTTTGCGGCTCGGCGACGAAAAAAAGGATACTACGAGAGGCGTTCGAGAGAAATGCGAGATCGGTTGATCTTTCGTCGGATAACGTACCCGACATCAACGTTATCACAGGTAAGAGACTTCTGTTCCAATTCTGTTCTATTTTCTGAGAGTGGTCGTGAGAGATGACCGATTGGCGAAAATTTATTTTGACAGGTGTGCTGAAGGACTACTTGAGGGAACTGCCAGAGCCGCTGTTTACCAAGTGCCTCTACCAGATGATGGTCGATGCACTTGGCGTTTGTCTACCAGACGATCCTCAAGGCAATGCTAAGTTGATGTTTAGCATACTAGACTGTCTGCCGACTGTTAATAAGGTATGTAATTATAGTGTAGGTTTTCTGAAGTGTCTACTGTATTCAAAAAGTAATTGTATTTGTCGCAGTGTACGTTGATCTTTTTGCTGGATCACTTGGCGCTGGTCTTATCGCAATGTAATAAAATGTCACCGGCGAGCTTGGCGATATGTTTCGGTCCCGTACTGATGCTGCACTCGGACGACACAGGTGGACCTCTTGACTTCCAACAGCCAATAGCTGTACTCAAGTATCTACTGGAAATTTGGCCTGTTAAGTCAGGTAATGTGATTGTTTAAACTCGTGATCATTGCTCTCTTTTACATGTCCATTAATGGCGATGCTTTGTTTCCTTTGAATTCTATACATAAACTTATCGTTTATTATTTTCTTGTTATGTCTCATTCTGATGATTTCGGCTCGCATGAGTGCAATATAACTTTTTTCATTCTTCACAATTCTTAAACACACGTTGCAAATTTTTTTACTTATCATGAGTTTGTTGATTCACAATTTTTCCACATTGGAAGATCATTTTATTATTATTTTATTATCTTCTTCTCACATGCACAATTTCATGAAAATTTATCATTATACACAGAAAAAGAATCTTTGAAAAGGTGCACCAACCAATGAGATTTTCAAAAGGAAAAATCAAAGAATGCCGTTATTGGCTCTTATGGAAAATTTTGAGAGTTTGTCGCAAGAACGAGTACATTGAAAAAATTCCACACCTACCCACCATCTTACTTGATTTTGCAACAAACTTATTGTGCACTTCGTTGTTTGAGAGCTTTTACGATGAATTTCAAATCGATGAAAGAGTAAAGTTGAAGTACAGGACGATTTTCCATAAGTCAAAAAGCCCAATCCAAAGATCCCGATACCCTGGTAAGGGCCGAGTAATCAGTAGCTCATTTCACAGACAGTTCGGAAGATTTCTTCAACCGCTTCAACACTTCCACGAGTTACGCTCAGCAGCACCGGGAACGCGAGCAGCACGCAACCGCATCAAGTCTCGGCAGCTGTTTCTTCAGCTCAACAGCAACAACAGCGGGATCAACAGCCGCAGACGCTGCAATCGCAGCAATCGGCACGCCAATCAATGTCGCAGCAGCAGCAGTCGCCGCAGAGTCAGCAGCAGCAGCAATCACATCAGCAGCTCAAGTTGCTGCAGCCAATCCAGCAATCCCACCAGCAGCAGCAGCAGCAGCAGTCGCAGCAGTCGGCAACCTTGCCTCGAACAGGGCTGCCCTGGCAGCAGCAACCCTTACTTCATCGTCAAAACCCGATAACTACTACTACTACGCCCCAAGGACAACCAACGCCGCCTATAACAACCCATTCGGTGCGGCCACCTCCGCCACCGCCTATCAAGCCGCGACAGGTATAAAATTTTCCTCAATCCGTCTGTATCATTGTTCATCTGTGATTTCATAGATACGTAGTTCTTGTTTACCTTTTTCACTACTTTTGTCTTCTTTTATCGTTAGTCTTATTTCTTGGACCTTCGAATCACTTTATCACTTCTCTATGTGTTTCATGACATATCGCCCCTTAGCTTTCTTTATAACTGTTCGCACTTGTTTCAAATTTTCTCGCACAAATTCAAAATTATCCGCTCTACCTGACCACGTGAATTGGATACCGAAGTAAGTAGAAAATCATCCGAGTGCGTACTTCCGAAGGTTCAAGAATATCATTTTTCAATTTCAAACTCGATTGCTTACTTTTTTAAGCTTGCGCGTGCTTACGATGTAGCTCTGTAAGCTTATCAAATTATCAGCAGCATGACAGTAGCATACAAATTTTATAAAATTTTAATCAATTTTTTGTAGACTATAAAAATTATACTTTTAGCCAATTTACTCTGATTAAATCAAGACTGATGGTATTGAAATATATAATTTAGTAAGCAATCGCAATCTAAACAAATGAACTTATCAATGCATGAAAAATGAAAATCATGGAGCAGAAAATTCTAAAATACACTACTGCAACACGAAGTTTATTAAATAATCAAATTATTATTAAAAGATATCACTCGTCACAGATTCTCACTGTTATCATCATTTTCAGCAAACTTTTCTTCTCTACAATTTATTTTTTCTGTTCTGCCCCATTGTTCCTCTCACAAAATCATGTCCTCATAATACATGTCATTCATAAATCTTGACTCCTCATCGATAGATTAATTAATCTCTGTGAAATTGTATATGTGAGATAAAGCGAAGAAGCAAATTTCTTTAATGCATATTATAAGGTTTCAAAAATCTATTAGGAAAATATAATTAATCAGCAAGAAAAATGGCTAAAATTTCTAATGTAATATTTGTAAATATTAATCGAAATCCTCTGAAGTAATAGTCATATTTATAAATGTTAAAGTGGTTGTATTACACTGTATAATATAAGCATAACTACGAAAAAAATGAATTAAAAATATAATAATAAGAGGTTGAATATTGAAATGATGCTTGTTACAGCTGCAATTCATCATAATGACTGATTCAATATTATAGCAACAGAAATACAAAAATTCAAAAATAGCGATTAATGACGTATGCTATAGTAAAATCTTCAAATTACAATATTCTAGTAGCTACTGTACTCGAACTACATGACTGATTTTTTCCAGTGAAAAATTTATAATCATAAAATAGCTATATTTAGCATCGTCTAATTTTTCAAAAGACTGGAATGGTTATTAACAATTTTACGACATAAAAACCTTTTTTTCTAACGCTTCGCCCTATACTTGCCATATATAAGAGAAAACTTTGTTTATTTCTTTTCTTACCATCAATAACTCAGAGGTCTTAATAACCTACTACTAATTGCAGAGGTATACGTAGGTACCTAAACCCAAGTTGGCACAACAAATGAAATAACATTGTAAACTTAGATAAATGATATTTCAAAAATCAAATAATCAGATCCCATCAATTTGAAACTTTGCACAGATATATATAAATTTGAAATCCTAGAAATTTCAGTTAATGACATAGATTTTGATTCATGATAAAACCGCTTTAATGAAACGTCAGCGTTCTAACAGTCAACTTCTAATCCCCTTTGTCACTCCACATTAAGTTTGACATAGTAATAGCATTAAAGATTCACGTTATTTTTAATCTTTTGTTTGGGCACATAATCAGACCAAACGTAAATTGCCGGCTCTACCAAATCGCTGACAACATAGAGACATCGCTTCTTGCAAAGGTACAATTATAGTTAACGTCTCTCTCTCTCTCTCTCTCTCTCTCTCATATGCTCTCTTTCTCTGTCATTCTGTCTGTCAGTCTGTCTGTCTCTGTCTCTGTCTCTCTCTCTCTCTATTTCTCTCTCTCCCTCTATTTCTCTCTCTCCCTCTATTTCTCTCTTTCATTTGATCTCTTTTTCTTGATCTCTCTCTCTTTTTCTATCTCCCATCCCTATTCTCTTTCTATTTCTCGATTTCTCTCTCTCTCTCTCTCTCTCTCTCTCGGTCTCCCTCTCTCTCACTCTATTTCTTTCTCTCTCCCTTTCTCTATTACTTTTTATATGTTTTTCTCTATCCGCTTTTTTTCGCTGTCGTTCTTTTTTATTTCTTTCTTTTTTTTGCTCTTTTTTTTACACTCTCCTCTCTATTTCTCTCTCTCTCCCTCTCTTTCTCTCTCTCTCTCTATTTTTCTCATTCCCTCTCTTTCTCATTTTTTCTCCCGCTCTTCTTTCTCTCAGTTGCACTTTTTCTCTTTATCTCTTTTTCTCTCCCTCTCTCTGTCTGTCTATCTGTCTCTGTCTTTCTGCCTCTTACTCTTTTATTTCCTCTTTCTTCTTTTTGCTCTTTCTTTTTCTCTCCTTTTCTTTCTTTCTCTCTCTTATATTCTCTCTTTCTCTGTCACTCTGTCTCTCTCTTTTTCTTTCTCCCATCCTCCCTCTCTTACTCTTTCCCTATCACCTTCCCTCTCTCACTCTATTTCTTTCTCTCTCCCTCTCTTTTTCTCTCCCTTTCTCTATTACTTTTTCTATATTTTTTTCTATCCGCTTTTTTTCCCTCGCTGTCGTTGTCTTTTATTTCTTCTCTCTTTTTCTGCTCTTTTTTTCTCTATTTTACACTCCTCTCTCTGTCTCTCTCACTCTATTTCTCTCTCTCTCTCTCTCTCTCTCTCTCTTTATTTCTCTCTCTCCCTCTCTTTCTCTCTTTCTCTATTTGTCTCTTTCTTTCTCGCTCTCTTTCTTTCTCTTTCCATCTCCTCCTCTCTTTCTCTCTCTGTCTCTTTCTCTCTCTCTCTTTTTGTCTATACGTGTGTGTGTATTCGCACCAACCCATTCCTTCATTCATTTATATAATGCTCTTTTATTTTTTTTCTTTGTCTACCTCTAACGCACTCATTTTATATCTCATTGTAATTCATTGCGCACGTAGATGAAACAATGTATGTCCATCACTGTTCTAAATTTTTTCTCTCTCTGACGTTCACTAAAACGTCATTGCATGATGTTGTACAAACGTCTGACGCACGAAACCAAAAATTGAAAGTCTTGTTTGTTTTTCCCTTACAGCCTATACGCACATCCTTTATTACATATAATCTTAGAAACGTATAAGCTTTCATGGAAATTGTTAAAAACTGTAAGGACGATTGAACAATTACTTTTTCTATCGATTGATTAAAATCTGTTATTATTTTTTCTTGCACTGATAGTAGAAGGTTTTATGGGTACATAAATTTTTTGTATTTTTTCATTACGATTTACTCAAATATCTTATCGTTTATCAACGAGTTTCAACTGCATCATGTGAGGTTTGTACCTCATTCGAAAGTACCAAATGACATTATAAAGTTAGCTTACTGGATCCAGAGTGCAAAAAATTATATTACATAACATGTAATTCATTAACTTACCCAAAAACCCTTTGTGAATGTTTGCTGTAGCAGCTGCAGCAGCCGTCGCCGCCACAGCAGCAGCAGGTGATAGTCTCATCTCCAGGTTCACCTAGCAGCGACGATTCGAGCAGCTACCAGGAATCGGTTAAAATGAGCCAGCCGTTACAGCATCAACGCGGGCCATTGCCGTCTACCACGTCGAGCATATCTATAAGTGGCAGTGCTTCCATGGCCCCGACGACAAGCAGCAGCAGCAGCATGTACAATGCAATGACTTCGAATAATCCACTGTCGCCATTAAATTCTGCTGGCATTAACAGCATGAGTATGAACATGAAACCACGTCTACACTCCACCAATCCATTTCTTATGATGAGCAATGGCAATGGCAATGGTAATGGCAATAGTGGTAGTAATATTCATCATACTAGTGGCAGCCTCGTACACAGTGCCATCAACTTCTTTAGTAACGGTACCAATGAAGTTGTGACACCAGCAAGTAGCGTCGGCACTGAAGATGGCAAACCCGAAGAAGCTGAACGTGGCGTTGAAGCTGATGCTGAAGCTAGCGACGACGATCACGTACAGAGTTTGAAGAAACAATGAGACGCGGCCCCGCCGCCACCGCGGCGCCTGGTCAATCACTTTATCAATCACCATGCGTACTAAAAAAAAACCGCGTGCGACGAAAATTTTCGATGCGAGCACCATTACATTAATGCCTATCGTTTACAGTAAGAGTGCGTGTACACTTTAGATAAGCAATGTGTATACTTACGATGAGACTTTTGTTAGCGATGCGGATGTAACGTACACAAAAAGGTAAATCTGTGCTGGACCACGATAGATACACGAAGTCGAAGGAAACGAAAACTTGTCGCTGGAATACACATTTCAATCTAAAAGTAGTATATGTTTGGATTTTTTGACTTTTTGATTCAAAAAAAGTCTGATTGCTAATTAGAGAGACGCGATAATGATACACGTACAGATACGGAAAAAAGCGAGTTTTTATACGGGATTATATACCTTCTATATTGCTGGGTTTTTAATCTCCCTCTCATACGGCTAACGCACCTGTACAGGTGACGAACACACACACACACACACACACACACACATACACACACATATATGTTGACTGTGCGCAGTTGTAATCTCGATCACCAAAGATTGAATTCAAAACTAAAAACGAAAAAACATTAATAATAATGATAATTAATACGTTGAATTACGCATAATGCTCGATTTATATACGATATATTATAAATATATACATAATCTGTATGTATATATTGCGTAGACTAGCCACGATATACATGTGCTTTTGATAAAGACTATTACCTTGTAGTGTATTAGCCATGAATTCAGTTGCGAGTATAAGGCATACGTAAAAAATAAAACAATGTGAACGATGAATTATAATGAATGACTAGAAAAAGTTAAAAATGAAATATAAAGTATAAATAATTTTGAAGAATCTGACTTGCGAATCAGAGAATTAATTGTTCTGTTCTTATCTTGGAAAGCTAAAATATACAGACGAATAATTAATCGATCGAAGTCACGTATATATAAAACTGTCATATGTGCATGTATTGACACGGATAAAAGGAAAAGACGACCCGAAATTATATTCAGCAACGGCATAAAAGCGTTATTTACATGCGCATATTGACAATAGATTGATGATGAACGGAAGAAAACCAAAAAAACCTTAATAAGATGAATTTTTAGTTTCCATTGCCTTGAGAATTAAAACGTGAAAAGGATTATCCCTTCTAGATCCGTCATCAATAGTTAGTATTACTAAATTACGCACTTTCTGACCAAATGCTTATGGATTGTCATCGTTCAGAGAAAAAAACCTAAATAAAAACGTAAAAAAAATTAAAATTAAGAAAAATTGTTACAAAACGTAGATCGTTTTCGAACGAAGTGAATCTCAACAAAGATTTGTCAAATATATTTTAAAGCTACCGTAAATAAATACTGTATGATTTTTGACACTTATATAACAAATTTAGTCTTTTTCGTGATCTTTCATTTGCGCATAGCATTTGTGTATAAATATAAAATAGCTCGTGTATAAAAAAAAAGACGAAATGCAGCGTGGAAAACTCATGAATTTTTGCTCAAATTTCAGATTTTCTTAATATTTGCTTAAAATTTTTTAAATTGGATAAGACAGGGTTGAATCAGTTAAATTTTATAAAATTAAAAAATTTTGAAATATCAGTAGTTGGAAATTTTGATTAACTGGTTTATTTAGATATATTTAAATCGATTCAATCCAGAATAAAGATTATCAAAAATAGCGCGAAAGTAAAAATATAACGATATTAATTGCCGTTGCTCATTGACCAAACTAAGTAATGAACGCAAAGCGACTCCTTTGATGATCATATAAACTTGCGTCTCGCGTATTTTTTTCAAATGCACACAAATGTATGATAAACAAAGCATCATCGTTCCGCTAATACTATACATTATAAATTTCCCATTCATCTTGTAATAAAACTATCGTCCGGCGTTGAATGACTCGAATGAGCGTCGAATAAGTGGGCACTCGCAAAAAAAAAAATCCTCATTTCACTTCTTTTCGATAATGATGGTTTTGAAACGTAATAATATAAACGCAGGAGCTGATGATAGTATTTCGTGGAAATTTTATATTATATTTTACTCGGACGAAAAAGTCGCTATCTAGAGATTGGAGCAAGATTAAAAGAATTTGCGCATTTGAATTTCGGTTGTGTGAATATAAATCAAGCGCACTCGACACTGTAAAATGAAAAGAAACATAATAACACAATCTATACTTTTTATAAACATTGATTTTGTAAAAATATGATAAAAATTTCGAAATACTATAAATTAGATCCTTAATTTAGTGAAGCAAGGAATAAATCATTTTTAAAAACAATCACATAAACAATTCTTGTAAGCATTCCAATGCCAAGTACTGATTACGGAAGGTGCTGAAAAAATATATAAATAAATATATATGTGTAACCTCATTTATCGCATACTAATCAGTGCCCATAATTTCGAGTAAACGCGCGATAAAGGTCATTTTAGAACGGGGATAATAGCGAATTGCATTTTCAATAAAAAAAAAGAAGAAAACGAATAATATTATAATATAAGTCCACTGCCGCATTTTGTAACGTCGATTGTTACCACATATGTATACTTATAACCGATTAATTATGTATTTTCACCGAATGCATAAACAAAGAAAAGTTATAGTTAACAAAAGAAGACTTCTCTCATACGATAACATTAAATACACAAGTCCCGCGAAAGATAAACATAAACAATACACTTCGGACAATACATACTAGTCACAACAAAGAAAAAAAGAGAAAAGTTCGCAGATATGTAATTTGTCATAGGTTTGTGGCTCATATCCCGAATTGCGCCACGATTGAATGTTTAGTCGCTATCGATGTCAGTGAATAGTTTATCGACCTAACAAAACAAACAAAAATAAAGTAGTCGTTATGCTGCGTGACTTTCAAGTGATTTTCATTGTTTATGTATCTGTACATTGGATTTTTCGCGCCAAATGTGTATTTAAACATACGCGCCTATTATCAGTTTTTTTTTCTTGTAATTTTCTGATAATATATAATTGTATATTTGTATCATTCAATCCTATATGAAAACAAATAAGTCTTCTAGCGCACATTTTTCGATATTACACTTTGACGAGTTTTTGTACAGTTGAATCCTCCCGTCGTACTGGAATATATCAAAGCAAAGATTGTACTTTTCGCCAAGAATTTCCGAATTTGTGACGAGTAAATGTTAAATCTTTAAGTTTCTAGGGAAACGTGCACTGTATAAAATTATTAAATGATCATGCATGGTGAATTCCGTAATAATAAAACTAGTGACCAAAAAGATCTCGAATTGGTGTTAAAAATAGAGTTAACGAATATGTTCTTGTTAATAATATTAATAAAAAATTATATAATAATTTACATGTTTGTAAATTTAGATCATTATTGATTCAATGCTTACAAACATATAATTCACTTTTGAATTTGTCAGTGACAATTACAACAAGAACAAAACATAAAACTGAATATACCGAAACTAGAAGGCAAAATTGCAATGGTATAATGATTGCTCTTTTACAGAATTCAAAACCGACTCATTTTTAATGAAGCTGCTCAAAAAAATTACTACGTTTAAAATTATAACGGATTTTTAAGAGTTTGTTTGTATTATAAATGTTAGCACTTGGAGTGATGGAAATGATACACGACACCGAGTGTTTTATAAGCATTGTATTTCACATTCTTGATAACTCTGAAGTAATTTTCTTTTATTCTATCTATATTTATATTAATTTATATTACTGATAAAAAGTTCGATTTTTTGTCTTCCTTATAGATGCATTAAGTTGTTTGCCACAAATAACCTGTGTGAACGCAAGGACCACAATTTCACCCATTCATTCATAATGAATTTCTAAACAAACAAGACATTTATATACAGATTTTTCTAAAATTAACAATTAAAGTTAGTAATTAGTTTCATCGGATTGAAACAGTTTGTTTGCGTTTAGATAAAAGAAAATATGGATGTTTGTCATTTGCTCATAAATAAATAAAATGGCTCTAATTATTATCAATGGCTAGTCCATGAAGCATGATATGTAGAAAGTAATAATAGACGAAAAATGTTCTCGATATAATATCATTTAAGAATCTACTTGTCGAACTTTCACTGTTTACATTATTCCTTTCTTTATCGAAAGTTCTGTTCTGTCGATAAAATACCACGAAATTTGTCATCTAAAGAAACATCAAATTTCTATATGAATTTAACAATTATTCTCCGGGTCCAATTAACGAAAGGAGTTTATTGAAATAAGCGTAAATCGAACTGAATATTGGGAGAAAAGTAAATCTGCTCAATCAAGCACTGATTTAAATAATCCTCGATATACTTACAACAATATAAGATTTTTAAAATAATACACATCTTAGCTTTTCCATCTCGTTTATTGATTATTCTGGCCTTGAAGCAATCAGCTTTTCACGTGCAACACGCAGTTTCTAAAATATACCGATAAAATACAAAAATAAAGGAACATGATACAAAAAAGGCTCAATTGAGCTGAAACTATTTTTTTAATTTGGTAAGACAACTGTATAAGCTTGATAAACAAATTTTTGAAATGCTTACATTCAAATTTCATCTGAGCGCTTGTGAAGTGTACATAATCAGAAATTCATGGTCTTTCACCATTAATACATTAAACATTTGTTGGCTTTATGTTAAACATAAAGCCAACAAAACTTCGAAAATATAAAATGTTGAAATGTCTCCTTCTCGTTGAAAAAACCAGAATATTGCACTTTAAAAGAACATATCCCTTCTCATTAGTCGATGCCTCTGATGTACATTTAATAAAAAGTAAATAAAATCGTATTATATTACTGATTGAACACTTTTATGTAATAAAGGGTAACAGAAGTCCATGATCTACATCATACAAGACATCAGACATTTATTCAGTCATTCGTACATTATTGATCACTCAGCGAATATTTTCTAATTTTTCATAAAGTCTAATTGATGCAGATTTAAAAAAATAAGCTTTTAAGAAAATGTATTAGTTTCGAGAATAATTTTTTTTCATGAAAAGAAAATAGTCGATGTGTATGATAAAACTTAAAATGTACACAAGAGACCGTAATCTCAGACATAGTATACATATCATAGAAAAGCGTTTTTTATCATAGAAAATACAAAATTATTCACATTTTGCAAGCTTACTAATTAACTAAGCTTTTCTCGCAATGATAATATAAAAGTACATTATCATTGCGAGAAAAGCGTGTAATGGATCCATCATCATCATCATCGTCATCATCATCGTCATCATAATCATCATCATCATCGTCATTATAATTAAATACAAAACTGCAAGATAGTAAAGGCAAGCAAGTCTTCGTGGATAAAAAAATGGTATAACTAATGTACGCATATCGACACTGAATCAATAAGAATGCTGAATTTATTGGATGTTATTAATCGCTTTCAACGTTATAGCAATGTATAGAGGCAATTTATCAATTTTTCTAGTTGAAAGTTCTACTTTGAATTTTTCTGCAGAATCCGATACAATCTATCAATTTATAAATCTCTGTTCAAAGATAAGAAATAAAAAAAATATTTAAAAAGAACATAAGGTAAGAAAATATAAGGCTTATATATAAAATGTAGGCGCATTTTCGATTTGTTGAATACATATCCATTATGTACGAATGAAAGCCCTTTTATCCTCTAAGAGTGATAAAAGTTATATATTTAACGAATACCTTGAACATTAATATCACAATCGCACAATTCATCGTCAAACCCATAATCATTAGAGCGATAAAAAAGAATACTGAACACACATAAAAAACGAATGCTATATCGATTTAAGAATGCGCGAGAAATAATATTTAAAATAGTTATAATGTAATGAACCACAAAAGAATTAGTAAACGAGCAAAAAAAGAAGGAATTTAATGTCAAGCGTGCATATATATACGTACCTTCGTAGTTTTTGTGGATGAATTTAAATACGAAAAGAAAAGAAAGCATAAAAGTAATGTCAATGATGAAGATTAAACACAATTAAAACGATAATATTGAAAGGAAACATCGTGATTGACAGAAAACGATTGCAAGAAACTTAGAATTATTTTTATTTTCAATCCTATTCTCATTGCGCTTGTAATAGGGAGAAAAATTTGGGCTTCTCTTGAAGTCTTCTCTATTCATCGTGTAAAATGGAGCGATGCACATGTAAAAGCAAATAAAAACATAGCTATCAAAGCATGGGCAAGTGTAACGCGACTTAAACATACGAAGTAAAAATATTATCAATGTACGAAAAAGTAATTAAGTCGCTCTGAGAATTGATATTCTATAGCATGCATATTATACGTGCATATAAATAAATGCGAATGAATGTGCATGAACAATGTGAATATAAGTGTGTGAGGAAGCGATCGATGACAGAAGCGTTATAACAGAAAAATTGACGATCGTGATATTTATAAAAAATAAAGAAGAAAGGAAAATTGTAATTATCATGAGCGCGTCATAAATAACATTGTGTACCGGCAGGCAAGTACATAGACGAAAAACAATCCGCCACATATATAATCCTCTAGTCTTTATACGTGCGAAGCAAGACATCCCATCAGGTATACATACATATAAAAAACACACGTATATATATATATATACACACACATATACATACACGTATACATATTACAGATATGTTATATTATTCAATGTATATTACGATTATAAAAGAAACAAAAAATGTAAAGGCAAGTATTTCCGTTGTACACGCGGCATTTCGATGAAAACAAAAAAATTTTCGTGATTATATTACGCTAGCGAACTGATCATTATCACCATGTACTATTTCAATTGTAAGCTAAACCATGTGTGAATGTGTATTGATGCGACGATCAATGAGTTTGCATAAATAGAAACTTGACAGTATACAGATGACCGACCGGTAAAATTACTATTATAGACATTAAGAATCTTCGTGTGAATGAACAATTATGAATGGAATAACATTTATAAGCTATGATAAATAGTTGAATTGAAATAAAGCTTTGTTTTCAAATTATTGTAGAATATTGGCACATCGTACGCGTTATAGCACAAGTAAACACATCTTTCGTGATTTTTGAATGTATAATAGCTTATGAAAATTAATTGGTGTAGTAAGAAAGTGTCAATTGCAAAACTCGAAAAGACAACAGAATAAACAAATAAACGCGAAGTAGTGCAACAGGTACACAAAGTAAATAAAAAGTAAAGAGAATAATTATTGCTACAGTTGATAAAAGAAAAAATGCTTCATCTTAATTAACTATAAAACTAGTTGAAAACATATTCGAAAAGACGCGATGATGATGAGAGACACGGGCAAGCTAGTCACTTGTACACTTGTTGTTTCGTTGATTGTTTTGCATAAATTTTATTAGTGAAATAATAAAAAAAATGAATAAACACCGTTACCAAGTCTCGTGCAGAGCGCAAGAGTCGGTGAATTTTTTTTGCGATAATTTCGCAATAACTGAATCATCGCCTGATAAAGAATCTTTCTTAACGGTCGTCGAAATGACTTATAACGGCGACTTTAAGTTGTTTTATAACGTTAGTTGAAAACGTTAAAAGTATGCATGTTAATTTCTCACTATGGTACCTCATAAATAACTAGTTAAATAATTCTTTTGTAAATACTTAGTGATGTTGTTGAATAATTGTTTTGGAGATCTATTTATTTAATATAGAATTGATTGATTTAACAGATATGATTTGACGAGCTTTGCTCAAAATGGTTAGTTGCTAATTGGTAAAATTATTATCTTGCTACTTATTAAATTATAAGTATATCTTTTAAAATTGAAAAGAGCAATTTCAGTGCGAGTGACTGGTTTGATGATCAATTTTGTATGTATTTTAGTTTTTTAATTCTGATTTAATATATTCACAACTATCAAATTGACAAAGGTTTGCTATCAATTTGATTTTTTCGTTTTAATTGTAAATAAATAATTATCCCTAATTGCATTGATTTTGTTATATTTGATCAAAACTCAAAGTTTCAATCAAAATAATTTATTGTTCTGTTTCGCGTTCAAAGAAATTTTTTTAGGACAAATATTGTAAAAAGGTAATTTCTATTTTTAATTATTCAGAGAGGAGGTTGGATATAAATCTACGGGTTTGCGATGTAAACTTTGGTCAATTCGAAGAGTCAAATTTACAGATAGAAACGAGAGGAAAAAATAACGGCACGCGGAGAATTTTAAGCGCTTCTAAAAGTGTACGCTGTCGACAATTTAAGTGTAAGAATAGGAAAAATAGCGAGATAAAAAGATAGGAAAATCCGCGTGAGGCGCGAGACATGGTCACGGCGTGAAACCGTTGCAGTGACAGTACTATTTTTCTAAGTTGCAAAATATAAAAATGCGTAATGGAATAAATTAATAACGTTGCATTGTCGTTATTAGAGTATATATTAATAGAATATATCGAATATTTTAAAAGAAAACTTAGGAACAGAGAGTGCAAAAGAAAGACGTGGACTTATATGTAAACGAAAAACAAAAGTGGTAATATTGACGGTCGGTCGTCGAGAAAACTTGAGTTTTGCATTATATGATCGTAACGTTGATACTACAATAAAAAAAAAGCGAACGCTTGAATATAATATTAAATTTATTGACTGTATAATGCGAGCGACGTTATATATTTATTGTTGCGAGCTACGACCCAAGTAAGTGAGAATATCGTAGACGATTAAAACTTACGAAAAAAAAAGGAATAAGCAAGATGATCTATCTTAAGAAGTGTTGTTATGGGAAAAAATCTCTCATCTCGTAGTGCATGAGTTGTGTGAAGTAAAAAAGATTAAAGAAGTGAGAATGAGAAAGATTATAAATTATCAAATCGTTCTGTCAGTCACCTCAAACCTATGATATATTATACAATGTCATGATACTATGCTGCCATATAATATAAATATATGTCTACGATAAGGAAACAGTATATGACTAAAGACGAAAAAGTAAAAAAAATAAATATGTTATAAGCACGGCGGTGATGACGTCATAACAATTATTTTTACTGATCTATTTATTGTTCCTAAAGTTATCCCATCCTCAAATTTTTCATGTGAAAGAATGAGAAAAAAAGTGTATACGCGTGGATCAGTTTTTCAATTTACTCTAAATAAAATTTATAAGATAATTTTCATTTGAATTACGAATACGCTCCCTCTTTTATACGTTTTACAGTTTTATATGATTAGATTTTTTTTAGTTCTAATTAGTCAAACTTTTACGAATTTAAAAAAATACTCATTTTGTGTAAACGTTACATATATTTGGAATCTATAAAGAAACCAATTTTATGTACATCTGAATTGAATCCTGACTGAAATCATAGGAATCTGCTCACGTAAGAATTAATATATATTTCAAAGTTTAGTTATAATTACTCAATAAAAAAGGCGGATCTTTTATAAGCTCGATATGCTCTATTTCAACGTGAAATTGCTATATTTTAATGTATCATTATATCAGAATCTATTATAATAAGCGGATAGTTTAATTTTATCAAAAAATTTTAGGTGTTGTAATCATTAGAATGTATTATTAATGAAATTTTTTTCACATTTTAAATTTGAAACTTTTGAATATCAGTACAGTCAATCTAAAATTTTTATATGAGTATCACTTCCCCATTCAAATATTGAAAAAAAAACGTAATTTATAAGAGTTATAGAAAAACTTGCTACTCAGCAAAGATAATTTTACCTTTTTTATGGTAGAACATCAATGAGAGAATGATGACGCTCGTTTCAAGGTTCTCGGACTGAAGACTCGGAAAATTAATTAATTATATATAAATGAATAGGTTGATTGTGTTTCAATTCGTACAATGTAATTTATTTGCGCGTCAAAATAATTTTTTTACATGATATGCGATAATAATTTGTACGATATATACAAAATTATGTTAGCTGCTTTTCTTGCTTTAGGATTTTGAACAATTATCAAGGTTTTTCAAATTTGATCGACTTACGTAAAAATCTTACAAGTGTAAATCTCGCACGAGCTTTATTTACAAAAATACATCTTTCACAAAACGTGTCAATAAGAATTTTTATTTTCAATAAGTACTTCGGTTTTACACTTTGTTTCGGTGCAGATACAGCTTTAAGAATATTTTTACGTTGTCTTTATTTTTTAATATTTCAACAAGTCGATCAAATGGTTTTTCCTGAATCACGAGTAACACTCAGGATGTATTTATTATTAAATTAGACTTGTAAGGACGTATTTGAATGAACGCTTTCCACGATGATATTAGTGAACACTCAGCCAGCGGTAATATATTAGCAATAATTCAGAAAGAGTGTAAATTAATATTTTAAAGTTTTAAGATACATTATATTTTGCGATTTGTATGAGTAATGCGATGGGTGAACAATCATAATCGATTTTGCAATTACGAAACATTTTTCCTTGTCAAAAGATACAGTATTATTTGTGGTATATCAATACCATATAAAAAAATCGCTAAAGTGAACGCAAGCTTCCATCTCTCAAAATCAAACATCCAAATGAGCCAAAAGAAGGGAGAATCACAAAACAAAAACTTGAGATCCTCATGTTTCCTCGATTACTTAACTCGAGCTCGATCAGACTCCTTAACGAAAGTGGAGCTTCGATTAATTTCACTACCTGCGAGCAGCTAATCGACGACGTCTAAAAATCGCTGTTCGAAAGCCGCTCGGCCAGTTTTGTTTTGCACACGCAGCTGCACACGGTACGACCTCAGTCATCGCGACGAGTTACGCGCGCATGGAGTTTCCCAATTTCGATCTCTCTCATGCTAATTAACCGGCGCGATTACACCGTTTTCAATCGATATTCGAGTGTTTTTTTTCAATGTGAATACCCACTATCATGAGTTGCTAATTGAGATACGGTGTGCAAATTTTGGCACGTGGAGAGCTGGCTCCTTTATTGACAGGGTGCTAATATCATGAGCAATTGTTAGCTTTTTTTAGCTATATTTAATAGACGAATGTGCTGATATTTTAATTCGAAGACCATTTTCGGTTCATGTGACAAGTATAGAACTTGATTTTCTCTATTACATTTTATGCAATGAATATTTGATAAAGTACGATTTACAAGTATAGTGTTATTCTTATTTCGTGCACCTAAAAATGTAAATAATCTTATTGCGTGCCGCTTATTTAAGCGAAAGTCAGTATATGAAGAATAAATTAAGAGAATCAGCACACGGATCTTTTCAAGGTTTTATGACTAAATGTCTCTCGTAGAAAACTCTTTAGCAAGGGAAAGAAGGAATAATAAAAATGATTAGGAATTGGAAACCCAACAATTATCATTGAGCAACATCCTGAAGAGACGTTCTTCTTCTATGCGTACAGCATCGGTGAAAGCTGCTACTGCGGACTCTCCAAATTGCATGCGATTGTCGCGCGCTCGCGCATTACACAACACCGAATATTGCGGTCAGGCGAAAGTTGCAACGCGTTTATGTCGTTAAGGTAGGGTTCTACGCCGGCTGCGACTGCAACAGAGTTAATGAGATGCTGCGCGAGTCTCGAGTTTGGAGCTTGCAGCGTTAGTAAGTACATTTATCTCGGCTACGTTGTTGTTCGAATATTCAACTTAAAGAAAATTAGCTTGCGAATTTTTTTTTTTTTGATTATGCGAGTTTTTTCTGGGTTAAAGACTGTTAATTATCTGAACCTGTTGGCAGCTTGATTTTAAATACTTTGAGCAAATAATTTAAAAAGTCAATTTCGTAAATTTTTGAAACAAAATTTTTTATTTTACAGTGTTTATTTTCCGAAAAAATATAGCATGATTTATCCTATTTTTAAAACTTAATTCTGTCGATTTCGAATTAGATTGAGTAACTGAAGCTAATACTATTTAAAATAGAAACATTCAAACATGTGAAAGTAAACTATATGTTGCCCATGCTCTAATTGCTAATGAATTCCAGACAGCGGAGTACAATTTTTCGACTTATTCAGGCGAAACTGCTTCGAATTAAGACTCCTTCATTGGGAGTCATACTTTCACTCAACCTATTAATCATATTAACGCGCAAACCAGTTTTCTAAATATTTCACAAGAGAGCAAAATCATTGAATATCATTCGGTTCCCATAACTTCGTTCGCTACCAAAGTCGTCATTGTCTATTATTTATTATGCTAGTGTCATTAGAACTCGAACAATTATGTTTCGCTCGTGGTCACAGTTTCAACTTTAGTGTCTCGGTTCAGATTGTTGATTCTAGTAAACAGATGTAGTGCTATTTTCAATTGTAACATAGTCACTTACATTTTGTAACTAATTATTCAAAAATTCATTAACTTCAAGCTTGACGTAAGAAATAATTTATTTTTCAATAAGTAGAGCAAAATCTTATGGATTCCATAACAAATTAATCTTTTTCAGTACAGACAGATAACAACTTTGTCAGCGTAAGTAGTAAAAAAGATCCTTAACCCTTTATCGACACAACACGAAGAAAATAAAGAAAGCCAGTCGTCACGGAGTCCAAACCAAAATCTCCCAGTTCAAGGTCAAGAGAAAACATGAAACGAATGTTAGTTTTGCTTTCGATACTTCTGACCGTCGTCAGTATCCGTCACAATGGTAATATCATCATACATTCGTGATGTAAATATTCTTTTTGACAAAAATAATTTTGGATAACGTAGTTTCTAAATTTTCAATTAGTGCACTATTACTTTTTCCTTATAAATATTAGTAGGAATTGTTAATAGATAGCGATAAAGTTTTTCTCGATTGACCTATAACAGTTCTGTTAGAACGAGTGTATTTTTTATAAAATCTTATTTATTATGTAAACACAATTTATGATATATAGCTAGAATTTATTTCTGCCAATATTGCAAAAATTAATAGCTAAACTACGTGGTTGTTAAAAAAGATTGCAGTAATACATTTTTCATTGATATTACGAAAGCTATAGTAAAAATAGTAATATAAAAGTTATCTAACAATTTGACAAGGCAGTAACGACTGTTTTTTTTCCAAATGATTTCTAGTTAAAATGCCGGAGAAAGGGAATCGAATGCTGATGCACCGCCGATTAGGCAATCGAGAAGTCGGCCAGAGAGTGTGTTATGGTAAGGTTTAATATTAATTAATAGATAACGATTTAACAAGTCATGAGATATAACTGCTTATTGCAAATAATTAAAAGGTAACGACAAACGTAATGACAATATTTTAAGGACTTGTGGAATATAACTTATAATCCTTGATTTATATTGCTTAGTAAAGATAAAAGTAAGCCAAACATTTTTCATTTTAATGCATTCAATAGTTTTCGCCTAATAGTATATTCAATAAAAACAAAATTTTGAATTTTTACAATCGAATAAATTGACCTTGATCATTTTTTATTCCCAGTTATAATGATCCAGGGATATGTTCAACTTCGAATTTTACTATGTCAATAGAAAATAATTAATTTTTCAATTTTTGGCGTCGTAGAACCCCAAGATAAATTATATGCCATTTCAATAAAACTGTATGGTAAGGGAAAAAAACGCTGAATGTTCAAACACACGTACAAATTATTATTTGTACGTGTGTTTTAATTAAGTGTTTTTAATCGTTTATTCAAAATGCATTCTTCTTTCGAGGGTAATATTTTTCAACATTTTGAGGAAAAATTCTTGTATAATATTAAAAATTTAGCTTAAAGAAGAAAATATTTTTTTCAAGAGTACCTCCGAAGAGACTTTTCGTTTTGGAAATAACAATATTTGTCTATTTTGGAAACTTTTTCTTATTATACAATAATAATGATCAATTAAGCTAACCATTATTTTGATTCGTCTTTAGAACTTCTTGGATGTTTCTCTGATCGTCAACCTTTGGCACTAAAACGTCCACCACAATCGCCAAATGTAATTAAGACTCAGTTTCACTTGTACACTCGTGAAAATCGTGATGAACCCGAAGTACTCGCCTACGGTGATAAACTTTACTCGATGAACCATTCAAAGTTCAACGCAAGTCGTAAACTCAAAGTCATCATCCACGGTTTCAAGGGTAGTGGTAACAACAACGAAGCTCTCGAAGGAGTTCATGCTTTTCTGGACTTGGTAAGATTATTTCTTCGTCAAGATAAAAACGTTCTCGTCTCTTTGCCTTTCGCAGAGTAATGGTAAGTGAGTATATCACAAGATATACCACAATAGGGTGAGTATAAAAGAGTGAGTATATCACAATAAGGTCAAATCGCTGAAGAGATAGATGAATTATGCTCTGTTTATTCATTCGCTGCTGAAAGTTAAGCTGTTTTCCGTTAAATTCTAGGAAGACGTTAATGTAGTGATAGTTGACTGGGCTAAAGGAGCAGGATCAACTTATGGTCTTGCCGTATCTAACGTCGAACTCGTTGGAAGACAATTAGGTCTTATTCTACTCGATGCAGTTCACATGGGTATTCTCCCATCGAATATGCATTTAATAGGATTCAGCTTGGGTGCTCACGTAGCTGGTTGCGCATCTGAAGTTTTGAAAAGACATGGACTTCTCATAGGACGTATTACTGGATTAGATCCAGCGTCGCCTTTTTTCCGTGTTCATCTGTTCCGAGAAAAAGCAAGAAAGTTAGATTCATCAGACGCGAGACTTGTTGATGTAATACATACCGATGGCTCAGCAGATTTTGCCGATGGCTTTGGTCTATTAAAACCGATTGGTCATATAGATTTTTTTCCGAATGGTGGGAGACAACAGCCTGGTTGTAACGATATAAAAAATTCGGTTGTGGTGTCACATCTCAACGGTGGGTGTCAATTTTAGTTAATAAGTCTGATTTGAATTAGCATTGTCATGAAATGGTTATTTTTATAAATCAAGATTAATGATATGAGTTTTTATGAGATTGGCGGAAAAAATTTGAAATTACTGTCTTTTTTCAAGTTTATACAATGTTACTCAGTAAAAAAACATTCTAATCAACGTTTTCACAATCCATCAGCTGGAGCTATTAACGGCCATGTGGCTGTTCAATTTAATTCTATATTATAAAAACTTAATCAGTTAAAAGCGCACGTTTTAGAACCTGCTTGATTATTTACATAACTTCTCATCACCGAGCAAATAAATATAGTAAATTTACGAAAAAAGAGATGTTCCCCAAAGGAAAAGATCCAAGAAGCCTGCAATCGTTCAATTTTATTTTAGAGGACAGCCTTGACATTCATATAGCCTGCAGTCATGTGCGCTCGTGGTTCCTGTTCGTGGAGAGCCTTCGAAGTCAATTTGGCACGTGTCAATTCTCAAGCTGGTCATGTAAACGACGTTTTGGTAGTTACGTCGCTGGCTCATGTTTCCCACCTGAGGATATTGTTGCTGCGCCAGAGATGGGTTATGCAGCAAATAAAGGACCTTACGGTCAATTTTATTTAACAACTAGAGCCGAACCACCATATTGTGGATATCCACTGCGGGCTGCTGTAAAAGTTGCTAATGATGAATTCAGGCCAAAGGGCATACTATGGGTAACAATGGAAAGTGGAGGATCGAATACAACCTTCAGAGTTATTTGCGAGTGAGTTTTGCGAAAAAAATAATTTTTAGGTCATTGGATTTGGTTATGGCAAGTGAATTTTTTCAATTCGTAGTCAAGGAGCGTTACCACCTTTATCAAGTTTAAGTAACCGAAACAGTTTACAACCTACATTCTACGACATTGAAGCCACAAACTTCGGAACTTTCGCTGCAAATGCCAGTAACGTCTTAGTCAGAGTTATATTTGAAGCCGAAGATGTGCCCGAGGCGGAATACTCCAAGGTCTTATTCGTTGAAAAATTATCTCTTGAAGACAGAAGAGGCCACAGGTATTATACACCTGTACAAAATAGTATCTGTAAATAAAATACACAGTTTCTTACGCAATACTTCTTTCCTCCTTTCAGGTGGGAACTTTGTGCTAAAAACTTAGGCTTAGGCGCTGAAGAACAAGTTTTAATGTTGAAAGAGGAGATCTGTTCGTTGTGATAATTATTTACACCGAGAAAACTTGTTAAGATAAACAATTTTGTAGAATTGTTTTACCTAACATATTTATGTAGTTAAATTATTTAACTCTATTTATCGAATTTGATAAACAAAATTTTTTCCGCTGAATTTCTCTAAATTTATTCACCGTTCTCTCGAATACCGATTTTTAAATGTGTCGTAACTGTATTCTCAGCGAGATAATTTGCGGCTCACAATTTACTTGTGGCCTCTTGCAACAATGTAGGTCGCCCGCAGCTTACGTGAAACCATCAGTCTCTCCATTTTTAGAAAAAACAAAGATCGTGCTAATCGCGCTAAATTTTTTTTCAACATCATCACATCTGTCATACTAATGAGTTTCTAAATGAGATATAGAAGTCTTAATGGCGTGGAGCTGAAAAATCTTTGTTTATACTTTCTTTTATAAAAGTAGGATTTTGTAAGAACTTTTAGCCATATTAATTTATGGAAGCGTTACTATGGTCATCGTAAATGATTAAATGAAATAATTACAAATGAAATTGCGAAATAGACATGTAGAAAAGGACAACGACAACAAAAGCAAACTAGCACAAGTTAGTTATGGTACAATCAACATGTTATATAACATAGTCAATCTTGGCATTGCTAGATTTCTCAACTTTTTGGAAGTAGTATTATAAAATCATGCAAGGAAACCCAATAGAGAGTCTGAAGAAATCGGTTTTTTCGTGACGTAATTTGATGAATCGGAAAATTATATAAAATTTTGTTTATTTCTTTTCAGACCAACAAGCTAAAAAATTAATAAATATCAATGTTTAAAAAGAAATGCACAAATGTTTATGTTAAAAAACTTGATCTTATATTTTTAAATTCATAACAAGCCGTAAAATATGTACATAATTTTATTTCATTCGCAGATGCACATTCAAATAACTTAAATAATCTATCAGTCAATCAAGCTAACAACTATAATAACAATATACATCAATTCAACTAAAACACATTATACAACCAAATCAATATAGAAGAAAAAGTCTGATTCCCTCGATCACGCATCCGCATTTAATAAGAACCAATAACGAAAATAGTACGTAACGCACCTTACATATTTGAGAATGTTATAGACGAAATCATAAAACTCGCAAGATGTGCATAATGAGATCGGAAAACGAAAAAAAAAACTCTATCTACAATCGAATAAAAAATTAACTAATTTACGACGTTTTAGTATGAGTGTCGCTAAAACCATTTTTCGTGTTGTCGAAATTTGTTGGCTCGATAGTTGCTTTGCGAGCAATTTCAGCGGCATGTTCGTGGCTACCATCGCCACGATTAGCAATGGTCATTTTGACAAGCGAATCCGATGGTTCTTTAAGATCGTAAGCCCAACCGATACGAGCGAAAAAGTCGATCAATTTGGTGGTGAGATTAAAACGTCCACCGCCGATTTCAGCTGCACGATAGTCCGACGGGAAGACATGATGATAATTATGCCAGCCTTCACCCAGGGACACGTAAGCCACAAAGTTACTCTCGACGGGTGAGATGTGCCTGCAAAAGAAATTGAAACCAAACGATCGTAAAGCAAATGTTTAACTTTCAAAATGAAAAATATGATAACTGCGAGTTCTGTTTGAAGAAGTAATGTACCTGTCATAAGGTTTGTTGCCGAAAAAGTGAGCGAAGCTGTTGACACACCAGGTGGCATTGAGCACGTACATGTATCTGCTCAGTTGGAACAGTATGGTAATAACCCAATCTTCGTTCCAGCAAAAGACAGGCACGAGAATGGGTATGACGAAGCAGACGAGCACTTTATACAGCATGAAATGACGCTCGAAAAAAGCGGCGACAGGCTCATTATAGATATCACTCACATCGAGTTGACGTCCCTTTCTAATCACGTCTGGATGTTTTTTAAGCATCAACCAACCAACGTGAGCGAAAAAAAAACCGCGGTTGCTGTTATGCGGGTCCGCGTCAGTCTCGGAATACTTGTGATGTACTCTATGATCTTTCACCCATTGAACAATTGAATTCTGTATACCACAGGAAAAAATTGAAACCCTGAGCATTTCAACTTTTATTGAGCTATGCTAATTTTGAAATATTTACCTGTCCGGCGGTCAAATAACAAATTGCCAGGATGATTTTTAATGGTGTCTTGGCTTTGTAAGCTTTGTGTGTCCAATAGCGATGAACACCACCTGTTACGCCGAATGCAGCCATCATTCCTAACATGAATGCTAAACTCATTACAATTAATATTTAGTTAGTAGCGAAAATCACTATTAAAAAAAATATTGAAAATGAAAACTTACTCCATAGGAATAATCTCAGATTTTGAACATATGGGAAGTAAACTACGAAGCCATAAATTCCTAAAATGTGCAAAATTGTAATCATAACAACGTTTGCCCATTTGATGTCTTTTCGAAAAATAAATGACGGTTTTTTTTCTTCTTTCTCTTCAATTGGTTGACTCTTGATAACTTTTGGATTTGATTGCTTGATTGGTGGAATAGACACAATTGGAGATTGGCTGGCCTCGTTTATTATAACGGGCATAAGGGTACCGTTAACAATATTTGGAGCCATTTTTCTTTTATTACTGGCTGTAAGAAACGAAATATCGAAAATAAGTCAGTTTTTTCGCGTTTAATTAATCCATTTCGTTCATTCCAATTTACTTGACTTTTTAAATCTCAAATTGTCCAATTTTTTCTAAATTAAGAATAAGTAATTTACTAAAAGTGGCAAAACTCACCTTAACTTGTCGACAAATACAAATTTTCCTCAATCACAATAATAAGAAATTATTTTCTCACAATATTAATAGACACGAACGTTCAAAAAACAACTAATTTTCGAAGTATTTTTCCAAAATCACTAGAGATCCACTCTCGACGATGCTATCACGTTAAAAGTATGAATAAATCACTGTGCCGAAATCGCGCGAGCACGGCTTAAATACAGGCCCCCCCTTGTCAGTAAACACAAGAGAGGCAGCGTTTCGACGTTGACGCCGTTACCCCCCTACCATCTCAATGCTCACAAATGATGTGTGCGTGCGATTTTCGGTTATCCGTGATAGCTATCGCCGCACCGCGTCAACATATCAGAGGCTCCGCAATCAGTCAATAAGTGAATAATTTATTTACCCATGGTTTAAGTTGTAAGTTATTTGATACGTTGAAAATCTATGTTCCATACATGCACTCAGATTGATTTGGAACGTATATTTTGCTGACCTTTCGTAATTATCTATGTCAAACGAAATGTGTATGTTAATATCGGTATTTTATCGGATAATCTATTCAAACAAATCCATAATTCTTTGTATCCGATCACTTCGTTATATTAATAACGTGAATATATTGAGAAAACCAATATTTTTATTTTGAATTTCGTTCATGTATAAAGTGCACATTAGTTTAGTGGGTTCTCAGTTCAAAAAATAAAAATCAAAAATTTCCTAGTTAAGCAAAGCATTACGTAATGGATTAAACCCAAATTGGCGAAAGTATTATTGAAAATAAAATTACTTTCACAATTTAACATACTGGTATTTATTCAATGAGATATTATCAATTTGTCATAGAATACTCTCAGGATAAAATTGATAAGTTTGAATATTCAGTTAATATTGCAAATCAAATGTAAAAAATTTTTTAAAAATTATTAAACCTTTGATTAGAGTAATTAAAGATCAGATGATAACAAACGAGTATATCTATATACGTTGTTGTTGGCGATCAAATCTATTACCGTATACAGAACGTGATGCCACAACCACCATTAGATATATCTACTATGAAAATACTTTATTTAATTATTTTTCTTGTTTTTAGAATATTCCAATTCTTATATATACTTAATATTTCAACGCAGGATAAGAATTCATCATCGTATCTAATGAACTGACATTTATATACTCTTATTTTAATAACGAATATTAAATATAAAGTAATTTATTACAAACAAATAGTCGTGGTGTAATATAGTATGGATAGCTAAGATATCGAATTATCACGTCATAACAAAAAAATTGAATAAAAAATCCACGATAACGTTACACATTAAATAGCTATTATAAAAATGCAACAATTATTTAAACAAATAATATAGATGTATACTAAAGATTGTTATACGTTGATAATCAAAAAATAGATTTTAAAACAAAAAAATAATTGTTTATAGATTTATATCGAAATATATAAAATATAAAAACGTTAAAAATACTATAATTTATTAATTTACAGTTAAATTTATATAAGCTTTGAATATGATGTTATTTAGAATTCGCACGATTTATTAATATAAATAATTGATATGTAAAAATTAAAACAATTTAACAGAATTTTTATTATGTAATGGATTAAACATTGAAGTGTTTTTAAATAATTTAATCGAGTGTTTATATTTATTTGCTCTACATAAAAAATCGTAGAATTTTTACTAGTATTTTTTAAGATAAAAATAAAAGTTTGTAAATGTATGGAAAAGAAACAGTAAAAATTAAGTTACAAGTTCACGATCACATCGAAAATAACGTGAGAAGAATTCAGTTGTAATTTTGCTATCCATTATCTACCACTGATGAACCTTTTTGCAGCTCGACAAGGCACCGAAAGATTATAAATTCAGCTCAATTCCTGAGATTATTTTTGATTAAATGACCTGTACTCAGCAAACACCTCTTCTTAAGAAATCTTGAGAAATCTTCACTCTATCGATTAGAGATTCGACTAACAAGGAAACTACCCCAGGTGTATCTCACCGATTTTCTTCATTTTTTGACAGTAAATCAAAAAATATTTGATCCGTGCCTTTTCGTTTGTGCTAATGCGGCGATTTAAGAGGTGAAAACTACCTCTAAAGTTCACCTCCAAAAACAGTTTTCTCTACATTTTTCGGAAATTATTTCTAATTTCTCGATGAAACAAAGTAAACATTATTTGTTATTTAAAAACAAGTAGTTGTGTATTATTTTCACCAATAATGGTTGCATTCCCTTGGTTTTATAAGTTTTGGGGGTGAACTTTATAATTGGTTTTCACCCCTCAAATCGCTGAATTAGCGCGAACAAAAAAGCACGGATAAAATATTTTTCGATTTACTACAACACATCAAAAAATGAAGAAAATCAGTTAGGTACACCTGTAAAGCCTAAAATTTAGTAGGTTTCGTGGTAAGAAATTAAAATTGCATTGTAGATCCAAGTTCTTTATTCAGTAAAATAATAGAACATTTCTAATTAAATTTTCATACAAATTAGTAGAGTAAAATTATAGTATATTTTCAATCGAATTTTGCCTATATTTGATAAACGTTGAGTAAAGTGTTAGAACACTTTTTATTAAAAATTTTCTTAGAGTAAAATGATATTTTATTTAAGGAAATATTTTATTTAAGTTTTTTCTATTTTTCATAAAAATAGAGTAATATTATAGAATCGTTTCACTCTAGTAAATTCATTTAAAATTATGAAATAATTTGGATTTAAATAAATAATTTAAGTTCTTTGCATTTTAGATCTTAATATCACAGTTCAATTTTGATATAGAAAAATTCCCTATAGTTTAAATACATTATTTTATACGTAGTGAAACAAATATTTATGCTATTTAATATAATAACGTATGTAAATTCGTAAACTGTAGTTTAAATTCATTCTTTTAGGATAATTTTAATTTAGTTAAATTTATGGTACTATACATAACATCTAACTTAGTATAATAAAAATAATACACTTATTAAATTTTCAGATGAACTCCAAAGATTATTTCTTCCAGATAGACGTTTTTATTCCTTTTTCTAATTCAGTATACTATTTTAAAAACGAAAGTAATAAAGTTTCTTAGAATGGTTCCTTGATATTTAAATTGTCTATCATCTCTAATATTTAAGTAGTAAATAATTTGCTTATTTACTTAATTTTTGTTATTCCATAAAAATTATTAAATTGTTGATAACATGTGATATTGATAATTTAATTAATGTGATTTTTTCCTTGTATTAGATCTTTTTTTTCTTGAACTTGTCGAAATTTCTCGAAAAAAAGGCTGTTATATGAAAGATTGGAAAGGTTGCTTAATTTCTTTGCAGTGAAAAGTTTGTTACATAATTAAATCAATAATCGGAATATATTTATAATCATAATCACTTCTCCACACGTGACTGTAACTTCCTTTATTTATTTTGGTTAACCAGATTGTATATCAATTAGACAGATAAGACGAAAAAGTAGCCGTTCTTGGTCGAGGTCGAGCTGATGACTGGACTTCCTTCAGTGTAAAGTCCTCTTTATTGTATCGGTCACGCACAACTGACGTAACCTTATTTACATGACTTACAGAAAAAACTCATGTGTAATTGATTGGCCTACGTGATCTGCTCGCGTGAGTTTCGTCGTATCTTTAGCGTCTTGTATAAGGTATTAGAGATCTTCTATTTTGAAAATGTGAAATATGAAACACGTATTAATCTTCCTTGGCGAATATTTGGTAAGCTGATCGACTCTATGGATTTATAAGACATTCCTGAAAGTATTCTATTTTATATATGTTTGACGCCACAAAATTGCAATGACTTTCAAATACCTCGGATTTGAATATTTTATTCGTTTATGTTTACGTTTATGTTTGCGGCGCTGAATTTGAAAAATTAATAAAAAAACCATAAAAATGTATTTCTTGAGTTTCCTTTCCTATAAAAGCTATGCTTTTAGCTCGATTATATTCGAATAGAAATAAAAAAAGAAATACTTCGCTACAATAAAACAAAATATATGTTTTTGTTACATTACCATCAACGCTCTTAATTTGAGAAAAGTGAAGCATACATTTTTTATTTTGTGTGTAATATCTTCTACAATGAAAAAATTTCATTCTTATATATAGAGAGCTTTGGAAAAAGAAATTTACTTAATCAATCGTAAAAATTTGTATAAATAAGATAATATATTCCTAATAATTTAGATAATATATTTAGAAACACTTTTAAAATATCCAAAACGAAAAATGCACAATGCACATATATTATATTCTATTTCTAGGAAAAATAAAACCGTGCGGACAATTATGCACGGTTTTATTACACATATACATTATTGTGCACAGTAACATAGCGCAAGTATTGATACACGCTAATTTGCGCCGTGTTACTATGTACAATAGTTTATGTGTTCAATAAGACCGTGCACAATTGTCCACATGCCAAAAAAATTTAGCTTAATCTAGGAATTTTTCTTTCATGTGTTTTAATTTTTATATTTTCACTCACTATTAAATTTTCCATCATTTTAAGTAATATAAATTCACGAACTACGTAGTGATATAATCAAGAATCATTTTTCAAGAAGAAATTGATATATTTTATGAGAAAAACAAATGTGAAATGTACCAAACACTTAGTACAACATTTATGTAGAATCAGATTATTTAATTATAAGTTTTTATTCACACGTGACTTAACGACAGATACCGACTTGTATAGAATCTAGTCTTACAATAAAAAATACTAATTTTTCGAGACAGAGAATTTTTAATTACGGTGACTAGAGAAATGATGAATACTGTTAGATTCCGTATATATATATTTTGTGAGTTTTTAAATGGTCCAGCGGTTTACGAAAACCGGTTGAAGAATTCGATGGTCTACGTGACTACAAACACGAGTGGATTCACGTGTCCATATCCTGAATAAAGCGAATGTGATAAATCGATTGCTCGGCATAGTATTTGAGAAAACAAGTTTGATTACCATATGGATTCTCGTCAACAAATTTTTTTGTCAATAAGTTTGATGTTTAGATTGTCAATATATGCGCAATGTTATTACTGAAGCAATAACAATGACATTATGAATTGTCATTGGCCCATTTATCCTCTAAACATAATGATGCGATTGTATTTTTTGCGCCGTTTTATAATTCATTGGGATGATATGTGATTCAAGAGAAATTATAAACAGACTATAAGCGTTTTCATTAGCTACATCCAAAAACTACAAATTTATTAGTTTAGACTACTAAAATATGAAATCATTTTCACAGATAAGTCAATTTTGTTCTCACCTTGATTGGCATTTCTTAATCTGTCTCTGCATTTTAAATAATAATGAATTCCTTCTATTGCTAAAAATATAATTAATATTCCTGCGTTCCTATAACAAAAATATCACAAGATCAGTATTTATTTTATTTAGATTAATTGGCTGGTATGGATTTTGGATATAAAATTTTTTCAATCCAAGTAATCGCTCTTGTAAACCATTCGGTGTACCTAATTTAGAAAATTTAAAAATACTGAAAACAAAATGTCTTTATTCGTAAAATAAAATGATTTTTATTAAATTTTAATAATCTTTGACTTGTACAAAAAATTTCATTGTATGTAATTACGCAATGAAATCGCTTGTACGTAAAATTTTTCCAAATACTAACTGTAATCCAGGAATGCATATATAAATCATCCATGGCAAAAAATTGAGAGTCATACTTTGCTATAATTCATTTTAAATATTCGCTATCTAACAATGCATAGTATTTTTTGGAGTTGCAACTTATAAAGTACATCATGTCTCGAATTAGTAAAATGTTAATCTTTTGGCTATTATTGAGAACCTTAAAGATTGATCATTGTCAACGTCCTATATAAAATTAACACGAAATCGAAATTTCGTATTAATTTAAAATTTCCTTAAACGAAAATCCGAAATTGTTTAAATCATCTCTAAAATTGCAATATATGAACACGAAGTATGCCATATGACAAGGTGATATTGCAATACTACTTACTAGATGTGCGCAGAAATTTAGAAATCAAGATCGCTCCTTTTAGTTTTAGCGATTTTCTCTGCAGTATAACATATTTCCAAGATTGGCCTAATAATCTCTTCAAACTTTTAAATTAGTATCTGCAATCGTTATTCAACGTTATGTTATTATTTATATTCTTTATTCCGAATTATTTGAAGAGTACAAAGATTGTTTTTTAATTGACTGTGGAAGCACGATTAGTTTTGAAATCTATATGCACCTTAAAAAAGTTTAAATCAAATCTCTGAAGATAACCTTATATGCATTGTTGCATGATTTAAAAAATATCTTTTTAATGATGAAAATTGTATAAAACTCTAACATACATATATTATATTGTTAATATCAACATTAATCAAAACGTAATCTAAAACTGTAAAAACTTATAGTACAAGATAAACTTATATACTTACTGTAGAGATAAGGATTCTCAATCCTTGGACTAAAAGAGATAAAAGAGAAAATAAAAACATATACAAATATTCACCCGATATTATAGTATCATTAGAAATATAAGTTAAACTTGGTTATTAAGAAGAAAAAATTGAAAAAATTCTAATTTTTTTAATCGACAAATATTGCTAGTGGAAAATAAAATCTATTATAAAGATAAATTGGTCTTGTTGTGAACATCTCTTGTTCAGTATTTAGTTCCGATTACAAATTAAAGTCGGTATACAAAATGTAAATGCAAATTAGTGAATAAAACGTACTGAATTGACGTAAAAATATAGCGGAGATAAATTTAATTAGATAAAGATCATTTGCAAAATTTATTCGGGGTAAACGAACTATTGAAATATTAATATAATGCTATATTTATTGATTTTTTAAAATTAAGATTACTTAGTTTAATTGTACATGAAGACTAATAATTAGTTTGATAAATACTTATATATACTTCTTCTTATCTATGATTAATTGTCATTGTCTACAAAGAAAGCATTTATACTTATTTTTTCTACAATGAAACTCTTTTAGTTCTTGAGGTTTATTGAATTGAATAAAATTAGTATCTTTATCCATATTATCTTATATTTTTTATTTTTAAAGAAAGAATAAATTCCTTCAATTACCAACAGTATAATTGATGCTATCATTCCCATAACAAATATATAGAGAATAGTATTTATTTTATTAAAATTAATTGGCTCGTATGCTTCTTGAAAATTAACTTTCTTTAAACCAATCAATCGGTTTTTCATTCCATTTAAAATACCCGACTCAAAAAGTTTCAAAATACTATAAAATAATTAGATAAAATTTGTTTAAAAGAGTTAACAATATTTTTAATATTGTGAAATAAATGTTTTCTAACCCTCTATCAAATGTTCTCTTGTAAATAAAATTTTTTCTTGTACCTCCTGCGATCCAGGTATTGTAATATGTTTCTCCCATTGGAGCAAATTCACAGCCATATTTTTTTACACTTCGTTTGAGATATTGACTTTCGAATAAAACATAGTGTTTTTGGATGTTGCAGCCTACAGAATACATAAGGTCACGGTTCGGTAAAAATTTTATTCGTTTATATTTCATTAAAGGACGCAATGAATCATTCGGAAAATAATCCTGTAAGATAAAATGTAATTATAAGACGAGGGTACAAAATGGTCCTATTTAAAGTATTGAAAAATTGAATGTTTTCATTACCGCATAAATAAGCAAATATTCGTATGTTAGGTGTACTACTGAATCTTTTTCTGCTAAAACTACATAATCAGTTTTACTATACAATGTTTCTAAGCTACTGAATGGTTGAAAAGGAGATTTATGAGCCATCAAGTACAAAACTTTCGCACTATAAAAAGCTAAAATGAATGTGGAAAAGAGACATGCGCAACTATTTAAAATTCTAGATGTCTTTTGGATTTGCAGTATGTGAAAACCTAAAATTATAAAAAAATTAGATGTATCAGTTATTTATATTCAAGAACTTTTCTAGAAATAAAAGATTAGTGAAATATTACTTCTTTGGCATAAAATTCCGAGATAGTAAAAAATATATTCTAAGAGATATTTTATAAAATATTTATCTGTATTATGTTTAGAAATAATACTCGTAGTAGAAATACTGATTGATAAAAATAATAAATAAATGATCAGAACAGCTATCCAAACGTCATACTCTAATATATGAACCATCCAAAATGCATTGTCATGATATGATAATTGGGCAAAGAGTCTAAAACTGCAAAGTTTGAAAGCGTTATAAGAACAGTTATAAGAAATGTTATAAGAATGATTACAATAATATAAGTTACCGATCATTCCAAAGAGGTAAAAGAAAATCAACAACGTCTAAATTTTGTGGGTATATTTCTATTTTTACAATAACGTCAGAGCTATTTTGTTCAATGTATCTTAAAAGCCCATTATAGCCCGACGTTAATTTCGGTCTTATTCCTACTCGCTTCTCGGGTACACCTTTTAAAATCATCCTGAAAAGTATGAGAGTAATAAATATTACATATTATATGATAATTATTAGTGGTAAATTTAGCTGACGTAAAATTTGCATATTCAGAAAGAAAAGTGTACACTTCTCCAATAAATCCTTTGATTTTTTTGTTATTGTCATAAGAACTAATGATACCGCGTTCCTGTTGAATGAAATCAAATAAGTAAGTTTTAATAATTACGTATGAAAATAATGAAATAACAACTCACTTGATGAAATAGAAGGCGAACAGGTTCCTTATGAAAATTATGTGTTTCTAATCTGTAAGACTGCACTAATAATGGTGCGTGTACTCGTTGAAAAGACGGTATGTCAAAAATAGGAATGAATTTTTCTAATTTATTGTTCCATATCATACCATTCAGACAATAAATAGGCTGAATTGCAACGAAAATCATGAACGTAAGATTATCAAACATTCTTATTGATTCAGGAAACGAATATTTTTTTAAATACCAAACAGCAAAACTTTTCTCAATTACTTTTTCATCAAGCAATGAAGTTGATAAACTAAATGGTCAATATATTCACAAGGTTCCGGCATCAATCAAGCATCGCGGTATTGTATTTTATTTTTTATCGATCAGTTCATTATCTTCCATAAAAATTAATAAGAAACCACGGATAATGGGCTATATTTCTTTGTTATTTTATCGTTCTCATTAATGGATTATAGTATTTTTTCTATCAGGACTGAACATTTTTCAAAAGATAAGGAAACTTCATGGAATATTAGAAGAAAAACGAAGCTTTATATATTCTTCTTAAAAATACCCACGATCATTTGCTCATGTAAAAATCAAGAGTAATCAATTCAATGTTATTTCTACAATAATGTTTTGGAATTATCACTTTATTTCAATTTTTGCTGCGTAGTATAAATAATACTTTCTATTATTAGAATTATAATCGACGTACAAAGTCCAAATAAATATATACCGATCGGCAAATATACTTGATATAAAGTTATAGGAGAAAACAAGTTAGTTACATTCATTGTATTATCAGACCTCATCCGAAGCCAACGGGACATTAAAACATTAATAATGCCATACTCGTAGAATTTTATTATACTGGAATGAATATGTCAAAACTGAACAGTAGTTTGAGAAAAATTTTATAAACAAGCTACGTACCTATGGTTAATTGTTTTCTTATATGGAAAATTTTTCGCTATTCCTGCTACAACCCAAGTTTTGAAAAATTCAGGCCCAATAGGATAAAGTGAACAATACACATTGCTATCCACCTTTATATGTTCACTTTGAAGTACAGCAAATCTTCTCTTATTATCACAAGTTAAATCCCATATGTGTTCGTAACTTGAATAATAATGAATTCGACCAGCTTCTTTTATTTTGGTATAAATGGGTTTTAAATTTTTCTGGAAAATTTTATATTAATATAATTATATTTAATTAAATTAGCGAGATATCACCAATATTTAGTAGTACCGTAAAGGCAATGTATGCAACTGAATTCTTTTCTGCAAGAACTATATAATCAGTAGTATGCAAAAGAGTTTCTAAGTCAACAAACGGTTTTATGACAACTGTTTCAGTGATATAAATAATAAGTTGTGAGTTAAAACTTATCATAATCATCCAAGAAAACATACTAATACAGAATGATAGAATTTTTGAATTATTTTGAACAATATAGAGTATTTCGCCTGAAATTTCGAGTAATTCGAAGAAGTCTAACAAATTGTGTAATAATTTTTACGTATTTATAGATTTGACGAGCATATCACCTTGATTACAAAAGGCACCAAAGACATAAAAAAAATGATCTTGAAGTGATGCTATTAATTTATATGAATTTGCATCACCTATCATTTTTTGTGATACTATGCTCAGGATCGATAGAAGTATGTAGAAAATTATGATAAGCAACCAAAATTTCGCAGGAAAAAGTTGTAACATCCAAGTAATTTTGAATTGATAATTCGGTCTTATGAATATTCTATAACTGTAACAAACGTTATTCATGAAATATGAAAATTATGTTCAAAAAGTCATCAACCTATCTTACTGTTCTTTCCATAGAGCACTCGTAAAATCAACCACTTCTAATCGTGTAATGTAGGCTTCCATCCTTGGTATAATCGTGAAATTACCCTGTTGCATTAATCCTAACAGACCAGTAAAATTACCATTAGGATCATATTTTGAGCCTAAAGTTCTCACGTCAGTCTTGATTAATACCATCCTTTAAACACATTCTATTTTTCATGCGAATTAAATTTATAAAGTGTCATACAAAGCTGTGAAATCTTACGTGAAATTCAACAATTCGGACATCATAGTCCACAATTCACCACAAACCCCAGTAACTTGTTTATCATGATTATAAAATTGAAACACATCTTTATCCTGTAATTAACAAAAATATTTAGTTTACCAGATTCCAAATACTGAACCTAAAAAATTCATTAATAATGAATTACCTTACATTAAAATATAAGAAATAAATATTTTCACCGTTAAATTTGTATGTTTCTATTCGTCGGCTTTCTCGCAACTTTTCATTTTGTAACGTTTTATAAGATTTAATAGTAGAAATTGGTACAAAACTTTTATTTTTTTTATCCCAAATAATGCCATTCATGCCATATATCTCTTTTATCATTGAAATAAAAATCAAGATAATTAATTTCATTATTATTATTTATTCTGTAATTTTAATTAGTCAATAATGTTTCTGCAATAAAGTATTACACGACAGAAATTTGTCTCGCTTAAAGCTTTCTAATACGGAGAAATATAATATTTATTTATTAAAAAATACGATTTGCTATGGTAGCACTATTACAACCAATATGCAACGTGATTATCTAATGTTAAATGACTATTATTCGTTATGCCTATGCGATTTATAGATTTACATGTTAAGATTTAGGTGATATGCATATTTGTGTCATTACTTTTATAATAGCTTTTTTGCATGACGTTACAGAATTGATCCGTGTTTCACGTTAATCATAACTAAAATCTTATTTCGCATGTATACAAGATAACAATTATTTATGTAAATAAATACATGTGTTAGCAATTTAATTGTTGTAGTTATAATTTATAACATCTTATGTAATTAAAAACATTTTGTTAAATAAATACAACTATATTCTTAACAGCTTTTTTTTCTTTTAAGAATTTTTAAAAATTTTCTTTTTCGATAAATGATATTTCTGTTATATTGTTTTGTTAAATAACACTGACTTTTACTGAATCTGTTCAATAAGTAATTAAATTGATAATTATTACAACAATTTAATAATTACTAAATGTTACTTGAATCCGTTAACTTTCATAATTTTTCTGTCAATCATACAAAATAAATTATATTATTGAATGTAATAAGTTTACGATGAGTAACTTGTTTTTTCAAATGTGTTAATAATTCAATCCTAAAAATAAGTAATCACGATGGTACAAACAAAATCATAACACCTTTATAATGGACATAGTATCAGAGAACATGAAACAGGCAAGTGACGATTATGCAAAGCAATTTACTCGACGACGTCATATATGGCGTTGACCTAAATTTTTTTTTTCGCACAAATTGTGTTGGATTTGATTATTCAGTGATATTCAACAATCCGATTCATCAATACAAGTAATTTACAATGAAATTATTACTTTTCATTTTTACGATGTAAATTATTTTAAATTAAATATTATCTAACAAAGGATAAGTGCTAAAATATTTAAAATGGACTGGAGTCGTCAGTGAGGCTTGACAGTCAGTATTATTACTTGCCTTAGACAGTTCAGTTGGTGAGCTCAGCATGATGTATCAATCTAGCAATCAAAATTGTTGACAAATTGTATAAAAAATTGTTTTCAAAAGGATTTTCAATGCTCGTTCCGAAAATACCACTTGGAAATACTCTTATCTATTTATCAAACAGATATTCAATAATAATGTGGTTGCAAATTAAGATTTAAATATTTAAAACAACAGAACAAGCGGTTCCGCCGTTAACGGAAACTTTGAGATTCAATAAATTCTGTGAATGCACAGTCACTTTATCGTTTCCAAGCACTGAACTATACGAAATAATTGGTTGATTTTTTTATTGGTTTTCAGAAGAGCTATCAAAAAAAGAAACATATTTATAGAATGAGAGAATTACGAGCATTGGCAGGGTATTTTCAAAATTAAAAAAACTACTTTTTACTGGAGAAAAAACTTTACAAATCTTAATTCGTAACCACATTCTTGTTGAATATCTTTTTAACAAACAGACGAAAGAATTTATGGGTGGTATTTTTAGAATATGTATTGAAAATCTTTTTGAAAACAATTTATTATACAATTATTCAACAATTTTGGTTGCTAGGTTGATGAAGCTTAATATATGTATGAATGAAAAAGGTCTCAGTCGGCAGTTGCTTGCACGAGCGGAACTAGGGAGTTGGCAACAAATAGAGAAACCCAGGGAGAGAATGAGCAGTGATAAGAATCGGAGAATGCGCTTTAGAGTTTTTTCAAACCTGATCTGAACCTGCCGCCTTGCTAAACTAGAGGGCGCTCTACTAGTCAATCCGGGATGAATGGGCATTGAATCGTCTGTCTTTGTCTCTCCAAGAATCGATTTTCCTTGCGCACATTAACAAACTCTTGTTACGCGTGCGCTGTGATAGACAGTCCCATTCTGACTTGCAAGATGTCAAAATTTTTGCACACCGATAATTGTTTTACATGCTGCAACAAGCCATGAAGGTTGTACCTCTTTCTCGTAACGAGTACATCTGATAAGAATGCAACCGGAAATATGTCTACTGTCACGAATTATCATGCTGCTTTCTAACTATAATTTTAACGACGAGTCGAAAATCTTTGTACTACGATACTTTTTCATTCAGAACTATTCAATCAATCACGATGGATAATGTCGCTGCTCCAGAATGCTTAACACTTGATTTTGGGCCCTTTGAGACTGTTCATCGATGGCAGCGAATGCCAGAGTGTGATGAATTTGTTGGGGCTAGGTAAATACATAAATTTATGTATTCCGTTATTATTTATTTGGGCCACTATTTACTAAAAGAATTAAACGATTTCACAGGCGCAGTAAACATACTGTAGTTGCTTATAAAGATGCAATATATGTGTTTGGTGGTGATAATGGCAAGCGTATGTTAAATGATCTACTACGTTTTGATGTTAAAGAAAAATCATGGGGTAGAGCATTTGCAACAGGAACTCCACCTGCATCTAGATATCATCATTCTGCTGTTGTGCATGGCTCATCTATGTTTGTTTTTGGTGGATACACTGGAGACATACATTCTAATTCTAATCTTACTAATAAAAATGACTTATTTGAGTACAAATTCCAAACTGGTCAATGGACTGAGTGGAAATTTTTTGGAAAGTAAGTAACAAGGATTTAGTCTATTTTTCAAAAGTATGTAGAGAATTATGTTATTAAAATTAATAATTTGATATTATATTTTAGGACACCAGTTGCTAGATCTGCTCATGGAGCAGCTGTGTATGACAACAAATTATGGATATTTGCTGGGTACGATGGTAATGCTCGACTGAATGATATGTGGACTATCTCATTAAATGTATGTATTCTGGCAATATTTTCTTTTTGAGGAATTGCAAGTAAAAAGTTTCTTTCACATGTCTAATTTATTTTGTAGTCTACTGATGCTAAAGTTTGGGAAAAAGTTACACAATCTGGTGATTGTCCACCTACTTGCTGTAACTTTCCAGTAGCTGTGGCAAGGGAATCTATGTTTGTATTTAGTGGACAAAGTGGTGCTAAAATTACCAATAGCCTCTTCCAATTTCATTTTAAAGAAAAAAGGTTAAACTAAACAAATTTTGAAAATAAAAACTCAGTAATAAGAAATTGCTTCATAACAATTTATTTTTGATTTAGGTGGTCGCGCATTTCTACTGAACATATTTTACGAGGTGCTCCTCCTCCGCCAGCACGTCGTTATGGTCACACAATGGTCAGTTTTGATAGGCATCTTTACGTTTTTGGAGGTACTGCAGACTCTACACTACCTAATGATCTTCATTGTTATGATCTTGATACACAAACTTGGCAAATTGTCACTCCATCTACCGAAAGTGAAGTAAGTTTATTGCTGATAGAAATTTTACGTTCTCATTAGAGTATTTTAATCGCAAATTCTATAATATTATCTAGATCCCGTCAGGACGTCTTTTTCATGCAGGTGCAGTCTTATACGAGGCAATGTTCATCTTTGGCGGTACAGTTGATAATAACGTTCGATCCGGTGAAATGTATCGCTTTCAATTTTCGTCGTATCCTAAGTGCACTCTCCATGATGATTTCGGTCGAATTTTAAATTCGCGTTTATTTTGTGATGTTGAGTTTATTGTCGGGGACAATCAGACAAAGATTCCAGCGCATATTGCCATGGTTTCCGCTCGTTCTAAGTTTCTCAGACAAAGAATCAGAGAAGCAAAGCATAAACAAAGGGAACATTTGGAGAAAAAATTCGGAAACGACAAGGTTCCCACCAAAGATTTGCCTATGTTGCAAGTACGTTTTTTACTTATTCTATCTTTGAAGCATGCAAAAATCAAATGCATAATATTTTATTTTCTTATTGCAGGTTAAATTAATAGATGCTTTACCGGAGGCATTTGATATGGTATTAAACTATATCTACACCGACCGTATCGATCCGACGAAGAAGTCCAAAAATGAAGATATTTTGAGCAACAGAATAGTTTTGTTAATGATGGATGTGTATCGTTTAGCTGTACAATTCAACATGAAACGTTTGGAGCAGCTTTGTGTTCATTATCTTGAGGCTACAATAAATCATGCTAACGTTCTTGAAGCACTACATAATGCCGCTCAGCTGAGATTACATTTTATCAAAGAGTTATATCTTGGCTTTATAGTTAAGGATAGTAACTATAACCAAATTGTCATGAGTCAAGAATTCGAGTCATTAGATCAACCGCTAATGGTTGAAATTATTAGAAGGAAGCAGTCGCCGCAGACAAAAAATAATGTGAAACTTTATGATTTTGGATCTGACACAGGTATGTAAAAAATATTCGTTTTAAATAAAATTTTTAAGTTATGAAATAGTAAATAATTGTAAAAACGTTAGGAACGACGCTTGAACAAGATATGCAAGCTTTTCTTAAGGGCATTGGACAAGAATTTTGTGATATCACTTTACTTCTTGATGGAGTACCGATTCCAGCACACAAAGCTGTATTGGCTGCTCGTTGTAGTTATTTCGAAGGACTATTCCGCTCGTTTATGCCAGAAAATAATACAGTAAACGTAAGTATATTTAGTCCAAAAGAAAACTATCTTCTGAAACAAGCCAAATCATTTTTTCCATTTTAGATACAAATAGGAGAAATGGTTCCATCTTCAGAATCATTCGGCTCGCTTTTACGATACATTTACTATGCTGACGTTTGCATGCCTCCTGAAGACTCCCTTTATCTCTTTACAGTCCCCGTTTTCTATGGTTTTACGAACAATCGTCTGCAGGCTTTTTGCAAGCAGAATTTAGAGATGAATGTCACGTTTGAAAATGTTATACAAATATTAGAAGCCGCCGATAGAATGCAAGCTGTAGACATCAAGAAATACGCTTTAAATTTGATAGTTCATCATCTAAACAAGGTACTTGAGCTATGTTTAAAAGTTAAATACTGGCTCTGAGTTTTACTATGCAATTTACCATGGAATTAATTTTTTGTGAAAAGGTTGTACGATTACCAAAATTGAAGAACTTGAGTAAGGAACTTTTACTAGATGTTATCGAATCAATCGCAGATTCAAACGGCGAAGCACGAACTTGCCAGGATATGTCTAGTGAATGCTGACGTATCTCGTTCACGAGTCAACCTCGTCCTCGCGAATGGAAAGTGTTTACTCCTCCAGCCTTCCAGGTTAGTCATTTATTTAGTTAGTTATTTTTCAATAATTTTTCTAATAGCTTGCACGAAACACGAACTTTAGATACGTCTACGTTCCAAACTCCGTCGCCCTATGCTTACTACATTCTCTCAATTGCCGCTGCATTGTGTAACTTTTTAGGAAAATAATATACGATACTCGTGTGCATATAGGTATCTCCCACACGAGCACAGCGAGTGCCGAAATCTACTTTGTGCATTTATATCGTAATGTATTATTATGTATACTGAAAATTCTTAAATAAAATTTCTCTCATTTAACAGGATTTGTGTCGAGTAAATTTCACCTTTATAGGCCGAACGATTTTGTTCGTGGATGATTACTACTTGGACCACGCGGCACCATTATCAAACTGCTTTGTGTCTGCCCAGGAGGAAACTTTACGGATGCCACATAGTTCTATCCTCAATGATGCCAAACGTCAACTTCTAAGAGATAAGCGATCACTCAGCGCACAGAGGTGCTCCGAAAGACAGTCAACACTACGTCGCACATTTTATGCCTTGCCTGATTTGGGTATTAAAAAGTTGTTTTTATGAGTAGATTTTTATTTCTATAGACTATTTTATAGTTAATTCTTGCTCCATGACCTGATGCAAACAATATTTTTTAATTACTAAATACATGAACAGTATATTTTTAAATTATTCATATAAGTTTCTGTTAATTAACGTATTTTCATATGATTTGAATTTTGCTTAATCGCTCTGTGAATATTTTAATTTTTTTACATGTTTGAAAATATGATTGAGAAGAGCTTTATGTAAAACTACGATTGAGCCCAAAGTTTTTAATTATTTTCACTTCCATTCTTAAAAAACCATTTTTAATTTTAATTAAACCAGTCAACAAACACCAGAATATAGATTGAATAAGATTAATATTAAGAAATTTTTTTATACCGTAAGAAATTTGAAAAACATTCAAAATAGAATAAGATATTTACTAACGAATCTAATCGGCCATCAGTTATTCTTCAGTATCAAATAATTTATTTTATAACGTTGAACTTTTGTAGGAAGTTCTATAATAGACATTTATATAAAAAAGAAAAATATACAAATATTGTCATTGACGTTCACATTTGTTTATTTGTTGCGTGATATTTATGTTAAAAATATCGTTCTTATTATTAAATAAGGGAACTGTTGATTAACCAATCGCAAATAATAAATATATTACTTATTTTAAATTATCATAGTTGGAAAATAAGACTCAATGAAATAATATTGACAATTCATTTACATATCAAATTTTTTTCTTCGATAAACATTTTAGACAAATATTCAAAGTTTATTTTTTTTATTTTTAGAAATGAATAATAATTAGTATTGAAACTTGTAGGAATTCAGATATAATTAGAATCTGGCTGTGATGCTTTTGCTGATAAGCTTTAAATACTTGTAATCTTATCGTAGTAATTTGTAATTAATTGAATGAGCTAATTGTGTCACATGCAATACATTGAAATTATATAAACACAAGTTCGATAGAGTACGAACTATACCTATAGACTTGGAATATCGTCGTTACTAGATGTGATATAAATTATTTATAAAATGTTGGTATTATAATAAAATGGAAAATAAAAGAACTTAATTATTGGAAATAATGGAAATTCGCTATAAAACGTATTTATTTGATCTTACAAAGCAGATGGACAAAATTTGTCTGAATTAAGTACAGTTATGTAAATTATAAAATTGCAGTATACCTGTTTATGCAAAGAAGAAAATCTAAAATAAAAATATATATTGACTTGCCAAACAACGTGTCATTTACTCACCTACTTTTCCAATCAAAAAATAAAAAGAGGAAAGGAAATAAAAAAGGAATAAAAAAGCAGATAAATTATATTTTTTTAATAAATTACGTATTTTATATTCGCAATTTTATTTTCATCTACATTTTTTGCTATCTGCCGGTGTTACAATACCTTAATTTCAAAACTCATTAAATTCAGAGCAAATACGTACAGTACGTCGTTGTATGTCTCATCATAAAATCCGATTCTTCTTCTGAAACGCAACAAGTAAAAGGACAAAAGTCACAGTTACCTAGGGTATACGTAAAAGAATCCTCTTGCAACGCTCCGATTTTTTTCTCTTTCACTCGACAAAAATTATTTCGGAGTAAGAAATTTTTCAGTTTTACTGTGTTTTGTGACATATACATAACTATCCTCATTACATTTTTTCTCGTCATTGGATAATCTCTATTTTCTTTATTTACAATAAAAAATACTTCTGTCGATAAGTTGGTCTGCAAGAAAACTAAATTTTCTAAAAGCAAAATACGATTGATAAGCAACGTATTATTAAAATGTTGAGATTGTAAATCTTGCTGTCAACAGACAATTATAGATAAAGATAAGAAACATTACTTTCTTCCCATCTTAACTTTCATCAATTGTCTGGCGAACCCTTAGCTATAAAGTTGAATTAAATTATCACTCTAATAATTTTTTCCTCCGAGAATTAATTTTTTTATTATTACAACTATGTGCAAGAATCTCTTGTCGCGTCCGCTAATTATTACACGATACATTATATTCTAAGTAGGCCTTTTATTTTTTTCGTCACTTATATTACTGGGTTATTCTTAATTTCGATTATTTTGTTTTATTTCAATTTTAAGGAGAAAATTATCATCCCCGTCTTGTTCCCTTGTGATAAAGGGATTATATAGAAAAAAGGTATCGGTCACCTTCTGCATGGCGACCGTTGGGGTTTCCAAACAAGCGTGTTGTCTATTGCAATGGCCCCAATCTGCAATCAAACAATCAAATATACAAATTAAATTATAAATGAATATGTACTTGTCCTAGCTGACTGTTATTACGAGGTAGAAAGCACGAGAATGTTCTTAACAATAATCCGACAGATAAATATGTAAGGTATTGATTGTGAATATGTATTTTTCAAAATTGATCAAAAGCGTTAATAGAAAATTTAATCTTAAATGTAGTTAAATCGCTATGGTTTTAATAATCAAGCGCCGGGGAGGAACTTCGCAAGTAAGTTGTATGTGAATTTAATTACCAGTTACGGAATACCTTCGACTTGTCGCAGGTTCAAAGAGAACAAGAGACAACACACACATATAGAGTATAAAGCCGATACAGTACCACCATAGCGGCACCTCTCTCGTTGATATGCTATGGGCGAAAACAAGCTCCCACTGGACATTCCTTGATTTCTCTTCACTTCTGCAAAACAAATTGTGCATTTATTCGTATATTTTTGTCAAAATTAATCGTCTTTCTCCTGCCACGAGATATTTTCCGTCGATAGAAAAGAATAAAATTATTCTGGCAAGATTGACGTTGTTACTCTCGTGAGAAAGAAAGGTAATAAAAATTTGAAGGCCTTCGTAATATTGCTTGCGAAGTAACAATAAATAGTTATAATTAGCAAAGTAGTATTGGCATTCACCTTTTCCTCGGCGATACTACTGGTAGAAGCCATCCTATGCGATGGTTCGAGTCGTCTACGCCGCTCCTCTATTGTCTCAGCATCAAGGCTGATGGTCGTCTGTAGTGTTTGTACGACCGAGGTGTTTACGTGTCGTGTCTTTATCAGGGGTGGGTTTCGCGATTGTGGTACCGCGAATGCCCGTCTCAGAGCCCCTCGAGGCGGTGACGGCGGTGGGTACGAGATTCCTGAAAACAAGCACACGTTACATATCAGTTGGATGTGTCCTTTTCTTTGTTCTTTCTCTTTGCTCACACGCTAAGGGAAGTGGGTGCTACTATGTAAAGAAGTTCTGTGGAAGGGTGACGAATCACTTTTTTCACACATTCATTGATTATTATCAAAAGTTAATTCGTCTAGTCTCATAAAAGTCGATCTCAATAAGTACGCATGTACGCATAAATATATATCGAAAGCATTTTTCAGAACGTATCAATCAAATAAAAAGCATAGACGTGCTTCGAGTGAATTGATTGTTGGCGTAAGCAACAGTTTGACAATAATCTAGCAATATTAAACTACAAGCTCAATCTGCTATGTGACAATAATTATGTATGGTCGGTCAAATGTTGACTTTCACAAGTCCCAGCATACGTCATACAAGTTATCTTTCAAGTTTGTGAAGGGGACAGGTGGAGGAGTTATAGTAAACGTAAGTGAATTGCCTTTTTTCTTAAATGTAAATTCACCTCGATGACCGGGCGATAGAAGTGTCTCTTTGCTCTTCGTGATCTGCGGCACAATGAGAAGTGAACTGGGTGGCGTCGGTGACACCGTCGACGTTTGCGGTGACGTTGCCAACGTTAAGTTGGGCAACGATTGGCCCAGACTTGAATACGCAGGTACTTGGACGCTGAGCGTGTTCGGCGTTGGCGATTTACTCAGCAGCGATCTTCTGCTTCACGTTTTATTCAATTTTTCGAGTTGTTTTTTTTTTATTTTTATTTCTTATATAGAAAGTACAGAGTTACAGCGCATTTCCAGAGTGATCGTGTAAAGTACTTATTTTTTAATGTATATCTGATATAATAACATCCAAAAAAATTTCTTTCATTTTTAGAGAATTTCAAAATTTACGAACCACTGGATTCGCATGCACTTTTATATGATCACTGCGTCGTGACAAGCTTTTAATGTAGCAATAAAAAAGCTTTCTAGGTAATTTTTTTCACTCTTTATAGTCTTCTATGTCATGCGTTTATGAGGTATAGAAGGCTTGCAAGTTATACTTTACTTACATGCAAAAGTTGGGTGCTTACTATGAAAATGAAAATGAAAGTATAGTTATTAGAAGGATAAAAATAATGAAGGAAATACGTAAATTATATTTATATAATCTTACATTCATTATTTAAAATAGTATCAATCGGATAATATCCTACGTTTACGAGTATACATAGTTTACATTTCTTCTATAAATAGAAAACTTCGAATCGTATGTATTATATTCAATTATCAACATCGATCTCATATTAAAAGCTTTTAACAAGATTTATATCATTTAATTGCTTTATAATAATACAGATGGATAAAAAACACAGAGTTATGAGTAAAAATATAGCTGTAATGACAAACAGGAACAGCAAAGGAACATCAATTCATTTTTCATGTAAATAAAAAGAAAATATCGCATTTAAAATACTTTTTCATTTGGTTGCACTCTACTAGCATAATCACAAAATAATGTGCTTAAATAAAATGCATCTCCAATAACAATTAAAAGCTATATCAAAAGACCTTTGGAATTGCTAATATAAGACAAAGTTACAGTTTTTCCTACTAAAGAGCATTCTATTAGTTACTTGTGTAGTTGCAACTCGACACATCCTTGCATGCTGATTGCGTACTATTAAAATGTTCTTTTACTCAAAGTTGGTAAGTAATTCATAAATCTAAATATTTCTCATAAATAATATGTAGATAAAAACTATCTTCAGCTACTGATATTCAAGTTGCATTGGATAAAAATCAACGTGAAATTGTTTAAACAAGTTATTCAGTTCAGAAATCTGTCCGAAGTTACTAAATTTATCTCGCTAAAAGTATGCTCTTACTGTAACATATCTGTCAATTTTAGTTAAGTGAAATTCAAGGAGCATGTGCAACAGTTGATAAAGGCTAAGTTGTTAAAATCTAGGTCAGGCACTGTAAGATTTTAAGCACAAAGTGGTACTCTTTATTCACATTTTTCCAATAATAATGGGTATACATGCTCTTTAAAAAGCAATCTGAAAGCTGGCAATCAGGCAATCGGGTCAATAAGATCATCATGCATACACTCCCCTGAGATTGTTTTCTAATATTAATTAAAACCAAACAACCTCGAGAAATATTTACAGATAATTTTCTCTATTATATACTCAATTTTTGGAATGTTTAAAAAGAATAAAAATAAAAAAATCACAATTGTAGTCAGCTAAAAAGCAATTGAATACCTGTAATACTACAAGTCAGAAATAAAAGAATCATCATGCATTTGTTCGCCGCTGCAATGAAAAATAGAAAAACGTTTGCTACGAGGAGGAAACAAAATTTACTTGTCGAGATAACTTCCATTAGCTCACTAGCAACGATCATTTCATCAAGAAATTTTATGAAATAAATGCTGTTCGATAATGAATTTGTGGCTGAATTGTTGTTCGCCAACTAATGGGAATTTCTAAGAGAAAGAAAAAAATGTTGTTTGCTCCAATATGTATATCAGCTCAAAATCTAAACGAGAATCTCAAGCCGTATCACGCGGAGCGAGCGAAGGATCGCCGTTGTCACCTGATCTGCAGCTGTCGATGATTATGCGCAGCAGCGGCGGCGGCCGCCGACTCAGCGCCACCTTCCTCACTCGAGACACTTGACGCGCGTGGTGGCTCCGTTGTCTCTACGCTCACATTGCGGCTGGCATTGTAACTCGGCAAAAAGTTGCTGCTACCCGGGGAAGCCCCTTCCATTTCCATACTACCGCTGTGTTTGTGGGAGAACGGAATCGTAAGTTCTTTTTTTTCCTTTTTAAAAAAAGGATTGTGGGCGGAGGTACTAAGGCGTATATTCGAATCGAGCCAAGGTGCTTTCTATTCTGTCTAGGGTAGGTTGGGAAAAAATGTGGCGGTAATATCTTTGCTATTGAAGTTTTCCTTGGAATAGAGAACTCTTATTTCTTGTAATATTTTGCGAGCACTGAGGGGATTCTCGAAGTTATAAATTTTGCGTGTATGTGGTTCGAAAAAATATCAAATTTTTACCAAAAAATGATACGAACAATTGTCTCTTATAGAATCATTTCAAATGCAAATTACGAGAAATATCAAATTATTTTGCAAAGACATCTACAATAACGAATATCTTGAAAATTACATCTTCGTAAATTCAATTAAGAACGCAAAATTCAATATAAATTTGTAGCATATTGAAATACTTTTCAAAGCTCGCTCGATATATAAATTTTTTCTAAAGTATCTTATCTTTTTCATCCCTCCATCACACGGAGCTTAGTTCCCAAAGAAAATATATCCTAACGAAAGAATGAATAAAACGTATCTGATGTCAGCTGTTGTCGGCAAAATAAAAATGCAAAATTCAGATTTTGTACAAATGCAGTATAAAAGCCTTTGCGATTCATACCTGTGACTATGTGCGAGACTGCTAACGCGGGAAGCTCGACTACTTCCACGCGGCGTCCTTGGTATACCTTCGCAAAGCTCGTCAACCTCGAAGTCAGCGTCACCGAGGTACGTGCTCGCTTGTCGGCTCACCGTTGCCAGTGTAAGCGAACTTCCTAGTGGTGGCACTTTCAGCATTGAGAATTGCTGCTGCGCTTTCCTTATCGATTCCATCCACGACTGCAAATCATATGTGTGTTTATTGTTTTAAAGAGAATATAACGTGTCAGCTTTTGTCGCGTATTTTTTAAATACTTTGCGTATGAGTCAATTTTTAACAATTTTCATTAATCGTTGAACTATGGTTATATATTAGTGTATTGAGAAATATTGAATTTATCATGAGTGCTTCATGTGTTGCGACAATCGCAAGGAAATTTAAGTAACGTTAAAGAAAATTTTAGTGGACTAGAGAAAAAGCTTTTATTGCATAATTTTCTATTGCTAGATTATCAAAAGTGGATTATTTCAAAAAAATTTATAAGAAACAGCAATCGTTGATAAAAAAATGGACATGTATAAAGTGAAATTTTTCAATTCCCATTAAGAATTGCGAATCATTACGGATAACCGCGAGCTTAAAAAACAAGTAAATCCCTTGCTCTGTATTAAACACACGATATGATACACGGATTCTGATAGCGAGATTGCGGGGCATACCTTAGAGAGTTTGGGTTCACCGGCATGCAATACGAGAGCCGCCGAAGCAGTACCGTACTCGTTGAGATAGACGAGTCCGAGGCATGATGGCTCTTTGAGCTCGTGTAGCCTAATTCGATCGACTACCAATGGTTGACGTACCACTTTCAACATCGATGCACTACCGGATGCTCCGCTGCTGGATGACGTCTTCTTCGTTGACTGCTTGCAGATTAGTAGCATATCCGTCATTAAAAGCAGATGCACCTCCATCTGCGAAAAGAGATAATTTTAGGTAATCGAATACCGTTGTTTAATTATTTATTAAATATCGGGCATAGCTTTCGGGACTTTATTCAATTTTAACGACATATTACAGATTTAATCGCGCTGTACGTATAGAACTGTAGGATTTGCTCGGATCTCTCTGTCTCTCTCTCTCTCTCTCTCTCTAATTTCAGCGGACGCTAATAGAATTCGACTGTGACGTAATTAATTAACACCCAATAAACTATCTTTCTTTGGAATTGAAATTTTTAACAACGAATCAGTAAATACCAAGATTGATTCTTTCAAGTTGCTAACAAGACGAAATTGAACGAAACATCAGTGATATTAACCTATTATGGTCAGGCGAAGGCACGAGTCCTCATCTACAAACGATGGACCAATTAATCAATCAATCAATCATACATACCTTGCTAGAGGAAGCAGAGTCGCGCAGCTTGAGATCACCTTCACGCAATAGAGTCCTCAGAGCGTCCCTCGGGCAGCCGGGCATCGGTGCGCTCATGATATCCAGGCTGCTGTGAAACTTGATGAGCTTGTCGAGCTCCTCGTCGCGTGATTCCACTACGTCGTAACTCTCTAATCGCGCCGCCGCGCTTGCCAGTCGAGCTGTTTCCTCGCTGCGACGCATCGCCGCGTTCACGGACGCCACGAATGTGTCTACTGATTTGATCTGTTTGCAATGAATTACCAATGACAATCTGCCTTGACCCTCTTGATTAAAAAAAGAGAGAATTTTACCATGACGGTCAATTCTGAGCGCTGGTCCTCGTGCTCGGTGTTCTTGTGAACAGCTTTCAAAAGTAACGAGTACTTGGTTATTCTCTGCATCGGTTTGACAAGAATATCGAGTAACCTCAAACGATTGCAGTCTTTTTGCGTTTCACACCACTGCCAAGGAAAAAGCGAATGAAACTCTAGGTGGACTTGAGCCTTATGTCTCGGCACTCACCACGAGATAGGCCGTGAAAAGGTTGTTGTCATTCAATCGATCACGGCAGTATTGCTGGCACTTGCTCTGCTCGGAGCAGTACCTCGTGTACGGTGCGAATATTTTCTCAAAGTTTTCGAAGCCTTGAAGCAGATGGCCCGGATCGAGCGGTTGCCTGGTCGCACGGGACGCTTGCAGCATTGCGGCGATGTGCTCGCTCCAGAAATAGCGATTGGCCGCGTAAATGTCAGGAATGTTACTGAACAGCCGTGTCTTGTCGACCTCGCTCAGGATATTCGAGGCCTGTAGGCCACATAGGCAGGCCATGAAGAGCTGCAATATTTTCACGTCATCTTGTCAGTGTTATTGTCGCCGAAAAATTATGTCGCGAGTAAACTGTTAGCTAGTGCGATCAAGTAAATGTTGGCATTTGATCGGCGAAATTCATCGGCTAAGTTATTAAACGTCGATAGGTATTAATCGGTTGAAATATCCTGATACGAATTGAAGATAGCACGTAAATAACGTTGATATCACCTGCGATCGAACGCAAAAAAGAAATAATAAACAGTGATCCAAATTAGATTTTCAAAACACGACAATATGCGGTTTCATTGAAAATGATTAAATTCGAATGGCAAAAGTTAGCGCCAGCGAAGCGAGTAAGACAAAGTTCTGAGAACGAAAGCAAAGTGGTCGCTACAAGATAATTGAAGGTCGGGACGAAACATGGTTGGCGCAATTATTATCCGGAAGCGACAAGGGAGTAGAGCTTGCTACTTACATCGGTCACGACTTTGAGCGTTTTAATGTAAGCCGCTTCCGTCTGTGCCAACTCCCAGAGGGCCGTTTGCTGCTGTTGCTGCTTTTCGCTCAGCAGCTCTGAGCTCTCGACAATGTCGCGCCAATCGTTCTCCAAACTCAACAAAGCTGCACAAATTGTAACAATGAATTTTTGTTAGTCCTTTTTTTGCAGTGTCTTCGTTTTTTGAACTGAATTGATGATTTCTTCTTTTTTCTTCAAATCTTTATCAACACATATATTTTCTTCAAGGGATGTAATACTTTCACCGTATTATTTTTTTTAACAGTATTTGAAATCTAACGTGAATTTTCTAAAACTGTATTCAACAAATATATTTGTAACTTGACCTTAACAACTTCGATTATTTCAATGACACACTAACGACAGTCACACATTACCTTCGAATGAAAGCGAAGCAATCAATTCCATCGGCCGGTCGATTTTTCGTCGCATAAATATAATATACGAAAATAGTAGCTGACCTGTGTGTGTGTGTGTGTGTGTGTGTGTGTGTGTGTGTGTGTGTGTGTGTGTGTGTGTGTGTGTGTGTGTGTGTGTGTGTGTATGTGATCTTGTAAACCACATCGTGACGTTACCATGATTTCGCGCGAACAAATTGTATAGAGCCGTAGCTAATCTACCTTCGCAAAGCTTCCGTAACTTTCATGTGGATTAGGCATTTCACTTTTGCGGTGCCTCTTTCCACCTTCATCCACGCCGAGACTTGCTTTGGTCCATTACGCACGGCAGGTAAGGCAAAAGTGTACTTTAGGATATTGAAAGTACGGCTGCATTCACCAAATTACTTTTTCTATATTCGAACGAAAGAGACGAAGTTTTTCTGGATTTTGGCATTTTCTTTTTTGGCTTCTTGTACGTTTCAATGTGCTTTTTGTTAAAGATAACCGAATTACAATGTTTATAGACAACTATACATTCGAACGTTGCAGTAATTGAATTGCGATTAGTTTTATAAATCATTAATCCAAACAAAACTGAGTTACAGTTAAATACGTTGGTCGAGCAGGGAATGTCGTTTTAGCCAAGAATAATACAACTGCATACGTCAAAGTCTTCTCTTGAATGAAATATAATTCGCACTCGCATTGATATTAATATACTCTATTCAATTATCAATGAAAAAAGAAAAAAAAGAGAGTAATATTCACCCAGACAAGTTGATGTTTAAATATTTAATGATCGTACCTTCTTCGCTAGCAGAAAGTCCATAAGGCAGTTGAGTTTCGGGTAACCTGGGCACACCATGTTTCGTATAGCCATTCAGCTGCTCGACGAGTAACTCCATTTTTGTACCCTTGGTATTAGTAAAGAAACCGCTCCAACGTTGCTTGCTGGCTTTAAGAGACGCAGCTCCAGCGACACTCTTTGCCGTGTTCGCAGCAACGATGGAACTGGCTTCCGAATCCACGCTCGAGTCCTCCGTCGAGACGCTGAAGAATCGACCACTTCGGCTTCTGTAACTCTGATATAATCGACGTATTTATAGTTATTTTTCATTGGAAATAGTTTAGTAATGAAAGATTACTGTTTGGGGTTTGCTTGGTTTTTTTTATATTTACCAGTTTATTTATTTTTATATTTGCCAGAGAGACTATCTTAATTCTTATTTGTTTGGTCGGAAATTATTAAATAGATTTAGATTAGTTTTGACTTGGCTCAAGCTGAAATTCACCGTGCGACAGCTAATCTATTATATCTGTTGATTGCTCCAGTGAACTCAAGTATAATCAGGACGTGCGTGTTTCATCTGCATTTCCTTTCTTTTTATGCAAATGGTATTTGAGATATAATTACGATTGGTATTACTATGAAATCTAGCAAACCTAATCTAACTATTACTGTAATTTTCTTATCAAATGCACTGGATTTTGAGTGTAGCGTTATTTATTTATTTTTTTTCAAAAAGTATCGCTTTCGTAACCTAAGTAAAATCTAATTAAATTTAACTTTTTTTATTTTCCCACATGGTAATCATGCTATTTTGAGTAAATAAATAATAGTAATGATTCGAGAGTCGATAGCTTTAAATTTTTATTGAACGTATTTTTAATCTTTACCTGTTGTAAATATCAAATAGAGGATACAAAAAGTAAAAAGAAGTGAATAAAAGAGAGTAAGAGAGAGAGAGAGAGAGATATATATATATATATAGATAAGAATAAGAGAGAGAGAGAGAGAGAGAGAGAGAGCAAAATAGAAAAAAAAGAGAATCTAAAAACCGATGAATAAATAGGCGATGAGCAGCGTTTACGTCGAAGAACTTAAATTTAGCTTATTTCTCAGAAAACAAATTTGTATAGCGAGAGATGCATAATATATAGTTCGTAGAATAGGCATTAGTTATGCGTACTTCACCCCGATTGAAAACCAAGAGAGACCTTGCCTTGCAACTCTCTCACACATAAACACACACGCAGTTGATGCTCTTACGTAATTATGCTCGAGAGCTTCGTAATAGAATCTTCACTCTCACTACGATAAATCTTTCAGGTAAAGGATGCTTTTAGTTAGTATAATCGAGCTATTATTGTATAATCAATATTTCAATATCACTAGAAAGCCTCCCCTTTAATAATGCTGTTTCAAAACTTCGGATGTTCAGATTATGGCCCCAAGGTTACATACCCAAGAAGGAACATAGGACTTCGTGCTAAATCACGTGTACTTTTCTACTTGCGCTAATCAGTACATTATACTTTGAAATGACTTTGGAAAATATTAATTTTTAGCTACGTTTTTTGCAGTTACAAATTTAGTATTGCTCGAAAGACCACGAACTTGGCAGCCTCTCAGCTGATTATTATTCAGTGACTTCCACTCAATTAACGTTGCTCATCATTTCGAACAACCTCGAATTACACCATACTAATCGCAGTATATCGAATTCTCGAAACGAGGTGAAAAATTTATTGAGGGCAAGCGCGCGTAATGACGTAGGCGCGTGCAAATATTAGTTTTAGTCACAATCAATTCAGGTATACAATAAAAGCCCATAATATGCGCGAGTTGCGTGATTGCTCACCGCCAAAGTTTCGCTATAAGCGCACTTGCATAACTCTCATTAGAAGGTTAGCGCGTTTGACACTTTAATCGGCATTTAAGCAATTACAGCCTTGGAGCGGAGTGCCCGCTCGATAATCATTCGGAAGACCCGCGTCGATGATACCGCCTGTAGTACAGAGACTGGCTTTTCCTTGGATAATTGAACGATTTCTCTTTGGGGTTTGGCAATAAATTTTGGTATTTAAATGAAATGTTGTACACTTTATAAGTACTTGAAAGATTCAATGGACAAATTTTTGTGTTCATATTTCCAACTTTTAGTGGTTCGCTGTGGCGATTTGGCTTTACGAGAAAACGTTGAATTTTTACGAGTGATTTAAATAACAATTTTATGTATTTCTTCTCTCGCTGATAGTTTCAATTGGCGATTGATTTGCACATAGAATTATTACCGAAATCATTCAAAGAACAATCTATGAAAACAAGTAAATTTTAGCTTTGCTATTATCATTAAAGTCTCTGCTAACATGTTGTCAATAAAATTTGTACGACAATCATTTATTACTTCGGAAAGTGTTATTAAAAGTAGTAAAAACTGATTAGGTTACAAACCAAAGAACTTTTCAACGGGTGAATGTCAATTTGTCATGAAATCAAGCAAAACCATCTCTTTCTGCAGCTTAAAGAAAATATTAGTTTTTGTTTTGAAAACAAAACATTGTTTCTACATAACAAGAGGGTTCATCCAAGCGAAAAAACATATACCTCATCTGCAAACTCATTCGTACGGGTTTTATCAATTTCGCAGGAGAGCGAACTTCCGTGCTACATAAAACTTGTCGCTTTAAGCGCAAACGCTCGCGCGACATATATACACGCACTAGGAAATCGAATTATACACGCTGCACTCGTTGCATGCATAATGCGTAAGCTTGAACTCGCACAAACTTGCGCCCGCGCATTCGGACGTTCCGCGATCGCTTGAAGCGCGACTTGGAGTACGTAGTTTTCCCAAGTATCTCTTTACAACGCGAATACATTTGTGTACGTGTTTCGCAGCAGCTGGTCGTTTAAAGTATTTACAAAATATATACGCGGCTTTCTTCAACTTAGTTTCGCTTAAGGCGATTTTGATGTAAAAGTAAATACTATTCTTATGCTTATACATTTCAATAATCGCGATAATTTGCCGACCAGAAATAACGTGACATGTTAAAATCAAATAAAAAAGAACACATTAAATGAATATTTTGCTGGAATTCCCACTGAGAACTTTCCAAAATTTATACCAAAGCTCCTATCAGAAAGCTCTTAGGTGTGGTAAAAAATTTACGATGCATAAATTTAATTTACGCCAGACGGTAAATCATCCTAAAACGTTGACTTTAGTGGCAATCTGTTTTACAACTCCCCACAGATTAGTCTGCAAAGTGTTCCTCGTGAACATTGATTAACGCTTGGTATCTTCTCGCATATGAAAGAGAGAAAAAAAACATGACTTATCTTCAATAAGCTTATAATTCACGGTAAAACTGCGTTAAATAAGCGGGTCGACAAGCCCTCAATGGGCGTAATGTAAGAGAGGGCAAATCGATTGGAGGAAATAAAAGAATTCACATTGGGTGTGCCACCGCGCGCAGGCAAGTAGTGTTTTTTTAACCGGCATTTACCAAGTAACTGTTGGATGAGTTTGAGTTATTTTCGACGCATCAAATCTTTAAACGAAACTTTCCTTTTTTCCTTAGATTTGTTGCGTAATACTTTTGTGGCATTTCTATGGGTTCTCTTAGTTTTATCGGTTTACGTAGTTGTAGAAGTTGCGTTTTGGAATGAATGCTTATTTCAGTGAGCTTTACAATAGCATTCAATATTTATGCTTTTGCATGTAGAAAAAGAGAAAATAAAGGAAGGCTCTTTAGTCAGGGCCATGTTAAAACATCTATTAAAATGCGCTCAAACACGCAATATAACTAAAAGCAACGCTCGGTGAAATATTTTTTCTCTTTTTCTAACTTCTACCGTCATAAGGGCCAAATTTCAACGGTTAGGTTATCAGTAGTAGCCTCCCCTATTTAATAAGCTTTTCGGCACGAATGATAAAACCAACAAAAAAATCAATTGCTCGAAAGTGAGCTTACCGCAGTGACTTCCGTGTCAAGAGTCGTTGTTGCAAAAGCCGAGCCGACGACTATTGCCGATAGCGTATCTTTATTGTACTTACCTTTACCAGCTGTACCCTTGTAATATACAATTAAAATGCCCCTGTTTTGGCACTGCAGCAACTCAGCAACTTGCATTTGTACCTCGCTAAGATAAAGGGTCAAGATTACTGTTTTAAGAATTTATTTTTGAATTTAATTCACATGAAACGAAAAAAGAAAGAATAGCGTGTTGCCTAAATTAGCATGAGAGAGAGAGAGAGAGAGAGAGAGAGAGAGAGAGAGAGAGAGAGAGAGAGAGAGAGAGAGAGAAAGAGAAAGAGAGAAGGAGAGGAAAACCTCGTGCATATCGAGATTTTCGGCCCTTAATACATTTTAATTTATTCTTCTAATCGTAACGTTTATTTCTATTTTTAAATTTATAAAAAATATAGTTATTTCATGTCTCACTGACTTATACTGCAGAATTTATATTAGGTCATTCTTTAATCAAATTAGGTGCCAACGATTGTCTATTATATATTTTTTAATTATAAATTCATAAAAAAACAACAAACTATCAAATGTCTCATTAACTTATACTGCTGACTTTTTTATCAGGTCATTAATTAATCAAATTGGATACCGATGATTGTCTATTATATTTTCGAAATCACTGATCCGCCGTCTCTATTTCATTAGAACCAACGAAAACAAATTCCTCGTACGTCCGCCAAAAAGGTGTGTCTATACAGGCGTGCCCATCAGCCCTCAGTCAACCAAAAAGTTGTTTTAACCATTAAAGCGATTTCCAATCAAACGACTAACTAAAACAGTGAAAATCACAAACTTTCACTCAGTGCTTGAAGGGATGAGGTCAAGGTCTTTCGAACCAAATACGTCCCAAAGTCTTCGCAGTCCGAACTGACGGCAAATTGGGCTGGTGCCAAATGTTGTCGCACGCACGCTCGGCTCGCATTATATGAGCTACATTTTTTCACTCTTAGCCCCGCTTGTGCTTTATGAGCTTCTATATTTAGCCTGTGCGAACGCACGGTTCTTTTTATTTTGGCGAAGTCTAAATAAATCACGTGTTTTCTTACTTTCACTTTAGTGAAGAGTGATAAAAAAAAATGGATCACGTCGTTTTACAGATTGATCTATTTTTGATCCATTCGCTGCTCTTATCAATGTGGCTAACGGTGTATATAACAAACTTTTTGAATTGTACTTACTCCGCCGGTTTTGCGAAAGGATACATTATGACTGCTTTTCTGACTGGCTGATCTTGAACTCGATTTCTCGTCTTTGGCTGCAAAATCAAACAAATACAATTTTTTCAGGTTAAATTGTGGAACATGTTAAATGGAAGATTCCTGAATTTCTTTTTAGTCTGTAAGGGTGTGAAGTAATATTCATCGATCAGGGTGTTTTCGCTATCTCAATCCGTCACCCTCGCAATTATCAATAATCATTAGATAAAAATTGTCGCCAAGAGTCCATTAACCTATTTCGTTCGGAGCTAACAAGCACTTGGCTAAACGACAGACCAGGTACGTCGACGTCTTGGATGAAAATTGAATTGTGTGCATGTTCCTTAAAATCAATTCGTTTCATGATAAACCATCCAATTCTTTTTTCAACGACTACGCGTTCAAAGTTTATTGAAAGTATTATTTCATTCGATATAAATACTCCAATAAAATAAAAGCTCCTGTATACGTAAGATATTTCACAATCTGTTAAGGTTGTAATTATCTCAAATACCGAATCAATGCAGAACGTGAAGCACGAAATATGTGAGAATGTGCATGCTATTGAATTATTTTACGATCGCTAAATAATTCAACAGATAATATAATTAAACCAAAGAGATAAAATCATTGATTTAGAAACTATTTAGGTTTTATTTAAAAAAAATCTTATTCAGCCAGAAATACATAGCTTTTATTCATATAAATATACGTAATCGATATAAATATACAGCGCGTCAACCTGTACTGAACGTGTGATTTCCGACAGTTGCGCTCTGCCATAGTCTATTTTCACTCTCATTGTAAGCTCGACCGAGCTTGACTGCTCGTTTAACATTGAGATGGACATTTTTTCAAATACCTGTGGAATTCGCATAGATACCATTTTAGTAAATTGTTGAAATGCATTATATCACTGGGTTGAATAACGCATAGTTTTATACATCGTCAATCTAAATGGTCTCGTTCTACTTATAAGCCACTTGGTACATTCTTTCACATTCATCAAAAGAAATGGACTTTGAAAGATAAATAAAAGTTCCCCTCGATCAAGAGTTACGCGTCTCGAAAGAAGAAAATTCACATTGCAAGAAGTAATGATAAAGAAAAAGCTAACTCTTTTGCATTGTCCCACAGAGAAAGAAAAAAGAGCTTTCTTTACACGTTCTACAAAGCAAATGATCGTAAAAATGCATAACTGTATACGAGTACGAAGAAAGCAACAACATGGAAAAAAGAACTCGAACCTTATGAAAAAGTGGAGCGCACGAGATCAACGAATTTCGCAGCCTTGACTCTTTTTCTCTTAGCGTTAACGATCTTTTCTTTTTCGCGAGTCTCGGTATATACTAAGTAGAAAGTGCCCGGCCATTTGTATACAATATACGTCGCATACGTCGAAAGAAAAGAAATAAAAAGTGCGCCTCTCTTTTTTATTGCCTTCTCTCTCTCTCTCTCTCTCTCTCTCTCTCTCTCTCTCTCTCTCTCTCTCTCTCTCTCTCTCTCTCTCTCTCTCTCTCTCTCTCTCGCTCATTTTTTTTCTTTTGCCAGCAGTTGTAAAATGCATCAGGTACTCGTTAAATCCCAGAATTCCTGTTCCTAGCATGGATGAGACATGAAGTGGCAGAACACTGAGAGGGTTGAACGGAGAAGTTTTCTTTGAGTACGTTCTATTTCGGAGGAATGCTACTGGTGTCAGAATCCTGCTGATGAAATTTCAGAGTACAATTCTTTTGAAATTGAAAGGTTAGCTTGAAAATAAATTTACTCGTCTAATTATTTAAATGACGTGGAACGAGAAGTAAATAGTTCTCAGTGAAAAATAGATGAACAAATTGAATTTGTGTTAATTTTATTTAAATGTTCGATACGTTTTGAATAACCAAATAAAATAGACTTTAAAAGTTAAATAAGCTCCACGTTTTTAAATGGTGTATCAAATCATGTGGATATATATTATGTTATTAGTGTATATTTCATTTTAGATGAAAAAGATTTTAATTTGAAAACATTTTCTCGATCATAATTTCTACTGATATGTCCCGAAAGTTCCTATAAATATAAGGTAGTAAGTAAACATTTTCCTTGACACAACCATGAAGAGCACATCAGGTTTGCACATGTTGGTAAGAAACACCGTATCGCTCGAAGAAAATGAAAAGGTAGAGTGGGTCTGCCACTGGGGAAATCAGTGAGAAAACGTTCGAAAAATCGGTGCGAGCTAAGGACTCTTACGAGATAACTCTTGATGATACGATACGCGCGCGAGTCAGTTCCGAAAGATTATTCACAATTTGCGGTTTTGATTAATCATCCCGACATATCTATCAATCTTAATCTGCTCATGATTTTGGATATAAATTAATCCATCAATACCATTCGTTTAAAACGGTGAAAACGATTTGATGAAAAATAATTTTACTAGCAAATCGAACGTCAATTTGAGCAAGCTAAAGCTTTATGATTGCGCTACTTGCTAAATTTGAAAATTTTCAGACTGAGCTTCTCCCCTCATTAAACTTATATTTTAATTGATCCACGTCACAACATACAAATCTCTCACGCCTCATTCAATTCCTTTGAATTTCACTTAGGTAACCGATACATTTTCGCTAAAACATAATTAAAAAATAATATCTTGAAGAATCGCGGTAAAGTTAATATAGTTATTTAAAATTTCAGGCGAACTATCGTTTTATCGCTTATTATAATTACACTGAGCGGAACCATATCTTAATCAATATGAAATCTACATTCACTCCCCGACTTAAATTAAAAAATAGTTTCTTAATTGCTGATGGCAAAAACAAAATATGACGAGTCGACGTCAAATTTAAAAATGTTGACAGGCAATTCCAATACACGCGTTATTTTATCGAACGAGAGATAATTAAATCTGTTAATTACCAAAGTAGTCATCGGCTTTGCCAATCTCAATCACTATCCAAAGAGTTGTCTTATTTTAAAAGGATGCAGAAAGCACTGCCGACTGTCAGAGAATACTCGAATTACGCTATTATCCTTTGTGCCGACCTTCGATGAGATATCGACTGTACCGCGAAGGCTATTCATTTCACTGCTTTACTTTGGCAGTTTCTCGGTGAAGACGATTGACACCTTTGACGGTACGATTTAATGAGACATTGGAAAAGCTGTTGGGGTTGGTGAGTTGTCATTAGTCTACCCAACGATTAATGATTAAACTCGTCTGGCAAAAACAAAAAATTTAATCGAGTCACTTTATAAAATCCAATCATTGTGAACAGCAAATTTTATTATGTTTCTTCGTAATAATAAAGGACTTATCTAGCATTATACCGTCATAAACTTTGTAAGATTAAACTAAACTGCGCACTGACGAATCTGTAAAGACTTATTTAAAAACTTGAATGACTTACCAGTTATTCGTAGATGTTTTCCACCTAGACAGGAAGTTTCGGTCGTGTGTACGGATAAGGGTGCCGCAAAGCTGTCGAGTAGCACGTCAACGCGCGACAAGTCTATACCCCGCCGCTCGCAAGCTGTGCTTAAAACCTCCCTGCAAACAAGTACAAAGGCAATTTATTTGGATCAGTGGATCAGTGGATTTACGTTTATTTTACCGAATATAAGTCAAGAAAATATAATCCAACATCGTAGCGTTGAAGAGAACACGACAGCGTTTTGCTAATTTACCACGTATATGCGTAGAATTATATTTTAAAATACGCTCATCCGACTTTATAATCTCTCTGCCCTTCTCGCGAATAACTCGTCAAAACCTCAAAGTATTTCAACGTATTAGCCAGCGTGGATGACTCTTCGCTGCATTTTCCTAAATATAAATAATATTTACGTAATTTTAATTTAACAGAGGTAGTATGAATGAGTACACGCCAGCAGTTTCATAAATAATCGGGATCTGTTGGAATTGAGTCGACGTCATGTGCGTTAATTAAACTGTGTATTGTAACCATTTTTTTAATAGATCTGGAGGAAGGGAGAGTCGCTGAGATAGGGAGAATATTTGGAGCAATCGATGAGCTTTCCACATCGAGAGGGCTCAAAGGGAATGTATTCGACCTCTTCTCAACTTTTTTTATTTTCTTTTTTGTCACGGTGCTTTTAATTTAATTTAAAAATACTACATATTTTAAAACATTAAAACAAATATTAATAAAAACCATTTTCACGTTCTGCATGGGTTTTTGTTTCTTTTTTGTACGAAAAAAATTACGCAGTTGAAAAAAAATATAGATCCGTACGAACTATTCAGTTTTTAAAATAACCATTTAACTTTTAAACTGTTTCGTCGTGATCTATTTTAAACCAATCGGATTTCAAAAAAGTTTGTCATACTTCAACAAGAATTATTTTAAATATAAGAAATTTATTCTTCTCAGAAATATTCCGATAAAGTCATAAATTAATTGTTTCGAGTCCTGGACTTGTAACAAAACGTTGATCATTGACTTATATCAGCTGATTATTAAGTATTTTGCAAGTAGTGAATCTTCAATAATTAATGTCTTGTTTTACAAGTGCTAACTTGTCCCATGTACTGCCATTTCGCAATAACTCATGCATAATGAAATGCGTGACATTTTCATATACATAGTTTTCAACATACATGTCATGGAATGATAAAAATAAAAAATAATATAATTTACAAAAGCAATAATTTTGACCATTTAATATTCGGCTGTTAGTTGTTGAATTATTTAAAATAAGTTTTGGAAACATCATGGTAACTACTTAAATGATGTCACCATTTAAACTTTTACTCGGAGTTATTAAACTGTGAAATTTATTCAAAGTTTTTATTGCTTTCTGATTTGAGGTATAATTGAGAAAAAAAGTTCGGTATAGAAAAAGAAAAATTCAATGAAATGCTTTTGGTTTACTAACAGTTACTAACAGTTCATTATCTTTGGAATTCTATGAGTGAAACGTTTTCTTTTTGCGGAGTATTTTTCAAACTGATAATAGTTTTTACTAATCCACTTGACGGATAAAATAATATCAGTGGTGCAGGCCTCGCCAAACTTCTCGAAATTGTTACGACCCTTTGTAGAACAACGAAACAGTAAAAGCGCTTGAAGTAAGACCTTCCAACTACAACTAACGTGTAACCTCATGCTGAGAGAATATATATTTCTCCTTATAAATCAGCTGACAAACGGTGCAAGCTCTCACTAACGATCTGCCAAAACGTGTATAGCCTAACGTAAAAGAGGTCGCAATTAACAACTCGCTCGCACGATAGGGATTTACGATGTACGGCAAGATACGCTCATGCCGTAAGAGAGAGAGAGAGAGAGAGAGAGAGTCGGCACGGGGTAGTGTGCTTTGAAAAATATCCAGCCGTCCGTGAAAACAACGACGAAGAGAAACGAGTCTAAGCGCAAGACTGATAAATCTCCGGTCGTTAAAAATGACGAGCAAGCTGCACGCGATTTCATACTGATTATTTTTTCGCACATGCGAATATGCGTTGTAGAATACGCTGAATCCATCCGATTTTTTTTCCACGTATCAAACAAGATTTTTCCAATACTAGAAGATACATGACGATGCTACTGTTCTTTTATTTTCTTTTTTCTGTCGGTTATGCTCGATGTTCTAGAAATGCATTGTCGAGTTGCCTTTTTATCGGTTTCGACCTGATTGGAAAAAATAAAACGCTGAAAAGTCTTTTACAGGATTAATTATTTTTTTTATCTTATTTTTTCGCTTCCCTCGGTCTTTGGTATTTCGTTAGGCTGTACATCAAAATCATTCCGGAATGGATATACAATGGAAATAGACTTTTTTTTCGTATTAAAATCTTATTTTCGTTTGGTCTTTCTTTGTATCACGATAATTTCAAGAATAAAGATAACATTTTTGGAAAAATATAAAATGTATCAGACAACTGTATTATGTGAATTTTATATCTCACTGCAAAAAGCGGAAATGGCATCAAAAGTAATCTGTTGAATTATAAACTATAATGTATTTTAAATTGAGTAGTCAAAAAGTTATTTAGTTCTCATAGTGTAGGTAAGGAAAAGCAAGAGAATTGAAAGGGGCCTTTCTCTGAAATTATATGAGTGTAAAACCATCAACCAGACTTTCCACTCAAAGTACTTGCTGAAGCGCTGATGCGAGTACCACACTGAAATGAGAATCTAGGATTTTTATTAAAAAAGCTAAAGTTTAGAATGAGAGAAGCTACTTAATTACTTACTTAAGTATTCCCCAAGAGCTAAAGGGTGGAAAGGGCGATCGGAGTGAGCGTGTCGCTCGACACATTTTCTCGAGACAAATTAAATCGTTCGCCAAATATTCTCAGCGCACTTTTTACATCCTCGAATATTAAGGTAAGTAACTATGAATTGTGAGCTTTTTATAACGTTTTTTGTAAATGATATCAAATTATATGATATGATATTGCTTTAGCTGAACGAATTTTTTTGTTTCTAATTGGTTCTATAAACCATTAATATTTTTCGTACCTTAAAAATATACAAATTAACGCTAATTATTTACAATTTAGTAAGGAAAATCTCTTATAAAAATGAATAAATCTTTCCAGACAAATAAAAACCTATTTCTTTATCAACCGAGAGTTCTATCCGCATTTCATCAGTTGTACAAGCAAAAGAATTCAACTGGTTGATCAAATAAATAACATCGGGGAAAGGAAACTTGAAAAATTTTTCTATTTAATTTTTCCGTTGTAAGTCCCTGGAATAAATCAAACCAAGAATTCCAATACTAGAACCAATAATTTTTTCAGTAGCTCTGAGTGATCGATCGAGCGACGCGCGAAACCACAAAAAGTCTTTTCACTCTCCACGTTAAAAGAGTGAGAGTCCGTGTTTATCGGAATTTCCCGGGGAAAGGCATTAAAACACAATAAATCACGCTTCCTATTTATTACGTCATCGTTGATGCCTGTTTCAATTGAGTTTGTTGTTTCTTTTATTCCAAAGCAAAAAATACGCCCTTAGAGAATTTATTGTCATATGGAAATTAAGCCGACACATGGTGTTAGAGTAAACTGTTTTCGGTAAATCAAGAATATTTCCTTTGCAAACCATTCCCTTGAGTTGAGTTAGTGAGATGAAATATTTGAAACGACATAGGCGTATGATAATACGGAGGATCACAGTTGACCCTGACAAAAGAATAAATTCGTTTCGTACTTTTGACTGACTAAACGCGGATAATTTCTACTTTAACTGAATTTGCTGTCCGTAATATATTAATAAACGCAAGAAAATAATTTAATTATATGATAAAATTGTCGAGTACCTCATTAAACGTACTAAACCTTCTGAATAAACTTGATCAATGTCTATATATTGAAAGCTTCGTATTGCTCAGGGTGCGTGGTGTCTGAGAAAACTCGATTATTACGAATTCAGACTCTTTCAGTTACGTGCGACAGAGGTATACAGTGGCACTCTTTTAACAAAGCTAATTAAAATACGAGGCATTAGAGGGAACATTCATCCATTGCGATTAACGCACGTAGCTGAAAGAGAGGATTAAACTAGCTAACTGACTGACTAACGGTGACGCATCGTTGGTGTCTCTTTCTCTCTCTCTCTCTCTCTCTCTCTCTCTCTCTCTCTCTCTCTCTCTCTCTCTCTCTCTCTCTCTCCCCCTCTGTCGGAAAGCGATGCAAAGGAATAGAACAATCTTTTGCTTGGCTGAGTTATCTCTTTGTACTACTGCCGGGTTTTGAATATTTTTGGAGTGCGAGTAATGGTAAAGGAGTGAAAACTTTAAAAGCTTCTCGAGTGAAATTGGATAATGTATCTAAGTTTTATATTTAAAAAAATTAACGGATTTTTACGACTAGTTTGCAATGAAATTGCGAGAACAAAGTATTGTACAAACAATGTGAACATTTCTTTTGAATATTTGATACGGTAAGAAAAAAAAGAAAAATATTTTTTTAAGATATCTGAGTCAGAGATTTTACAGATACACGAATGCCTTTAACATATATCATTAAAAAATAAAAGTTTACATAAAATTTACGTGGAAGCGACATTTCAAGAAAGTTATGTGAAGTATTTTACGTCTGTCCATGTGTACTTAACCGCTTACAATGTAGTTTTCCTCGAAGCGCTACGTAGTAACTGTAACCTTTTATATCTGGAGCTTGTAACCATTGCTACGTGGAATAATGACGTACTAGAACGCTCTCTTCTCGATAAAAAAACAATATTGTATTTATTTTTGTGATTTCTCTCAGATCTATCTTTGCGTAAATCCCACACCTGCAGCGACGCAATTTTCATATTTATTAAAACTGAGCGCGAGGGTCAGAAGAATTAATCCTTCTAGTTTTCAACTAAGTTATCGCATATTCAAGACTCTCCACGTTGCGATTGTGATTCTATGCAATTTACATAATACAAAGTAAAAAACTGTTCCATACTGGATTGTTTCAGAACTCCCTACAATTTAATTGTCTCGCCCTTTTGACAAGGATCTTGCTTTGTTCCAACGCAATCAAAGAGAGTAGAAAATATCACTTAATTAATTGAACAGATTCGTATT